CCTTTTTCGTAATAATGCTCCGCATTATTATTCAGGCGGCTTCGCGTCCTTGCTTGACCGACTGCGAGTTGGCTTTCGTTGTGTATCTGCATGTGCTCTCTAGGGCGATGCACATCACAGTATACTCATGCTCCCTTTTTAAATATGTGCATAATATTATGTATGTCTGAATCTACGGTAATTGTTGCTCTTAATGTTATTTTCTTCTATGCTGATACACTTGCAATTTGTTATTCTATTTTTAAATTTCATTTAATTTCTGTAAGTTTTCGGTACCCCCCCCCCNTCGTCTCATTAATAAAACAATAAAATAATCAAAAATAAAAATAATAATCATTGGACACACGCGCTCAAAAATTTGACAAGTATTTAAACTAGTTTACAAACGTTTAAACAAAATTATTCACCAAAACCGGCTTCAAAAACTCATTTTGAATATGAAGGAGTAAGCAAAAATGTTATTTATTTAAAATAAAAGAATATATAAAGTTTTAATAAAATCAGTTTAAAACCCGATCAAAATTATTCATCAAACTGTAAATCGAAACTCATCGTTTTACTCGTTAAAGACACTAGTAATGAATATTTGATTTAATTACTGGACCCTGCTGTTAAACTTACTTGAAGTTCAAGACACGAGCAAACGCAAATGCTTGATCTAGTGTCTTGTAATTCTAATTCTAAAATTCACGCTGGACCGTACAAGCAATGAAATTATTATTTCATCAGAAACTCCATTTCTAATCTACGTAGTGAAAATTTGATCAAATTATTCACTTAAGTACCGAATAGATGGAAAAATGTATGTTACTCTCGTCTGCTATACTTGTGCGCTTGTGTCGTGTGAAAAATCAGTCTGAGCATGAGAATTCAATTAAAATATTTGCTTGGCGAAAACAATTTTCCCTCGAGCAATTTACTTGGTGCGTACACGAACGGAAGCCTTAGTGCGTAAACATGGAAAGAAAGAAAAAATGACAGGTCTACACGGCGACGCAAATGATTTAATTGCCAAATTTTACATATTGGCACGTGAGCACTTTAGGTGCGAGAATTTCAGCACTGGCACTTTCCGCAGGGCATTCCTGGCCGAGGACGTACGAATGCGTCTATTTGTACAAAATACGTCCTCACTTTTGTTTCAAACTCGGCCCGAACTCGTTACGCGCACTTTTTCATTAAAAAATTAATTAATTATTTTAAGCCTTAATTGTATTCACACGCTTATACCGTTTACAGTTATAAGTACACGGATGTTTAGTATAGTCGCTTAGTCGCATAGGGAGAACAAAACAAAGTAAAATGTGTTATTTTGGTCCGCAGAAGGCTCAAAATTGTCTCTATAAAAGTGCAGCACGAGTAGTCGCGCATCAGTGCTAAAAAAAGCTTAACGTGTCAGTCCACATGCGTTAACAATGATGTTTTTGCCTAGGGAAAAATCCACGCTCACGTATCCGCTGGTGCTATTTGATATATACGTGGTTGACGTGCATACGTGCGTAATTAATGAAACCAATAAAGCCTCACGCTGCGCGCATGCTACTCGTCGTACGTATGGGTACAGGCTTTCCTCATGATTCCCCTTCCCGAAATTCGTTAAATTTAATTGGATGCGAGTAATCCTCGTGTGTCCAGTCGCCCGTGTGTATGGACACATGTGAGCCTAGGCATATGCAGGTAAATCCTTTTTCACGAATTCGTCAAAACTACGATGTTTTAATCGAGATGCGATATAAAATATACATGCGAGTGTAAGTGTAAGGAAATTCACGCACGTGAGCGCGTCATCGGATGATCGAACTGACTATACTCGGACAAAAAAATTAAAATGTATAATAATAATATCGTACTACATAAACCATAAATTCGTAAAATTATTATTTTCAATTTTTTCGTAAATAAATCTGACAAGAAGTTCAGTATGATGACATTTATATGTAAATTACTCATTAAATTACATTGCGCACATAACACGAAACTATTTCTGAGAATCGACAAATGTTTGGTAGAACTTTTTTTTATTGTCTTTTAACTCTATGTTTGTTTTGTGAATTTTTGTAACTATGAGGTAATACGAATCGACTGATCGAAGAATATGTAAAATTAGCAATGAGATAATGGATTTGATATTGCGATCGAAAAAAATAAATAATAGTACAAGTGAATAACTATAATACTATTATTAACGTCTTTTGAAGAATGAAAGAAAGCTACGAAAATAGGTAAAAACTTTTCACAAGCTAATAATCATAATCAGCTTGGTCTGCATTTACGTGTACGGGTGAGAAATGAAATAAAATATGATTGCGCGATCCTCTGAGTGCCTAAGCGGATTAATGCATCGAAGCGTGACGGACTGAAAATAGGTTGCACACGTATTCGACAGTAGCGGATGAATATTTGCATTGAGATTGCCGAAGGAAGGTCGAGCGAAGGCATTAAGTGCATATACGATCGACGTAGGCGTATAACAATAGGACTGGCTCGCGCTCATCGTCCACATATCCCTTTGATTGAAGTCCGGTGACATTGTATCGCCGCGAGCCTTACATAAACTATCTATATTCTGAAACGCGCGCGCCCTTACTCTAACCGATCATTGCATTTTGCGCGTGCTACGCTGCTTCCTTTATGAGTATAATATCTATATATACAAGGATGCATCCCTGCACCCATACGCATGCACTTTGTGCATTCCTTGCGCCTCGGGCTACTTTGCAGTTCGGATCTGCGCTAGGCTACAATATGCATAAAGGACTCCACTCGACCCAGGGAATTACTACGGTACACGAGTGCAGTCATCTACAACAGCATTGCCATGCTCTTCGGGCATCTGCAGTAATTGACTACTTCCTTTTATTCGCATTTCAACGTGTTGATTTTCAGTCTACATATTGTAGCTATATTAAGAGCTGAACAATCATTTCGATCTTCCGGTTCAAAAATGTCAACTAATCGAATCTGACAAAAGCTAAATCCTATAAATCTTTGTGCTTTAAAAATTCAAGTCTTCGATCTATCTGCAATCGTAAGTAAGAGCATCTAGCTTGAACCCTAACTCACTTATAAAAATCAGATTCGACCTTAAATTCTAAGAATATCAAAAGACTTTCGACTTGTGAATAAATTTAGACACAAAGAAAGCTGGTAATATTAATCGTCCAGTTTTCGAACACCGACCCAGCTCATCATGTGCCAGTACTAGGCCTGAACTTTGCAAACGATGTCAATACTGAATACCAATGCTGGACCAGTTTTAGTTATATACGCAACAGATAACAACTTTACCAACATTGGCTTCAACGTATATTACTATCAATTACATAAGCTTAAAACTCTGTTATATTTTTGATTCGAGGACTGAAAGCATCATAAATGAGTATACGTATCATTTGAATAAAAATTATTAAAAATAACTATGGGTGATTTAAAAATTAATATTCGTTTAGAATAGAGTTATAAATCGTTCAAAAAAGAACAGATAATTTTAACTGCATCGATACATTTTCTCTAAATTCAAAAATAATAAATATAGAAGTTAAAAGCATTTTTTATCTCGTCAAAATTTTATTTTAATGCTACCCCAGCCGAAACTAACCGTTTTTGTCCCGGCAGCCAAAACGAAAAAGTTAATTTCTGCTGGGGGAATCATGAAAAATAGTACACGCACCTATGAAGCGAAAAAGAAAGCCTCAGAGCACGTAATATACTATAAAATACCAACTATTACATGAAGTATCCAAATTGAACAGCCATAATTTGACGAACACATTTCATTACATTCAATTCCAATCTGAAATTTAAATCATAAAAGATGGTAGTTGTAATCAAAAATGAGATGTAAGGGAACAAAGACAGTCAAAATATCTTAATTTTTATAATATATGTAAGATAATTATTGAATTATCTTACGATGTAGAACAGGAAGGGTTGGCCAAAAATAATGCGGTTGAAGCTAGTGAATACTGAAATTATATTCACAATATTTACAATGATCGTAGACATACACTATATTTACAAAAGACTTATCCATCATACATCATACCTGAATCAACAGCATGTATACAAGTACGAGAAAACTTTTATGTGCTTGTTCTGGTTGCAAGATCACGACTGACTCTCGTTACAATTATTACACGCGTATATACATCGACGACCGATGCTGATGAGCGGCTTTTCACACGTCGCTCTTAAGTTTGTACTCCTTTCAAACTTACATATATTTTGAAAAATTCTTTCAATTTTAAACGTTATTCTTGGTCACTCAAGTTTCTACTCGTCTACTCAGATTGCGTAAATTACTTAATTGAAATGTTCAAAATTTTACAAAATAAATGTTTAATCGAATTTAACTTTATTTATTTATTAATAATATTAATTATGTACTAATAAACATTATTATTGATGATATTTGTTGCAAAGCCCGCCGTCAACCAGCAGCCCTCGCTGCGCTCTGGCCGCAAATGGCTATCTCATAAGCTATTGATTTTAGAGAGAAAGTTTACCAGAACAAAAAAGTTTTAGAATTGTTTAAGGAACAATCTCAAATTTTTTCAGAATTTTCGGAGACAATTTTTCAATTTTCGGGAATTTTCGGGAAAATCCGGTTTTTCAAAACCACTTCCAAAATTTCTGACTATTAAAACTATTATAAATTAAACTATTTAAAATCGCTGCCATACGGCGATGACGAGCCTCGCAGAAGTTTGAATGAAAAATCTACAAGGATGAGGCCACAAAACATCCGATAAATTAAATGCGCGCATCACATTTGCCTCAGCTATCAGCCACACCACCAAACTAAAAAAGAAGGGTTCTTTTTTCTTTTTTGATATTCAATCGAGAAACTATTAAGGTTTTTTAGTGAGGCTAATGACTTATAGACAAATGTAATTCGCGCCGCAGCTGTTCTTTGGCCTCCCCTCCGCACATTATGCGTAGCGCTGGCATCGTTAATACACACAACCAAAAAATAGTGTGTCGCTACATGTGTACTCTTAACTCCTAGACTTATAAGTATACGCCTGACGGTCGACCCGCGTGTAAAGGGGGCTTGTGATAGAGGTTATAAAAATTGTTTTTTTCCTATAGTGAATTATTTGTGTTTTTGTGTTATCTAATCTATTGATTGAACTACATCCAAAGATTCAGGATGAAGTCTTCAAAGAAAGATTTGATGGTTAATCCATTTTTCAAAATAAAAAAAGAAAACGACCAAAAAGAATCTAAGAAAAAAATTAAAGAAGAAAAAGAAGATAAAGTGGAATTACCAGCTGAAATTACAGTTAATGCCATAAGAAATAAAGTTGTACGACAAAAAAAATATGAGGCATTGCAAAAAGAAAAGAAAAAAGCTAAAAAAGAAAGAAGAAAAGCACGAGCAAAGGCTGGTGAACCAAAACAGATTCCTCACACTATTGAAAGTCTTAGAGAGAAAGATGAAACTATGATTTTTGGTAGCATTGATGATGAAGAAAATGCTGAATATAAAATTGACATGGAACATGATGAATTTGCTTCTTATTATCGAGAAGAGTATGAGCCAAAAGTATTAATTACTTACTCTGATAACCCTCACACCAAAACAAGAATTTTTGGTAGAGAGTTGACCAGAATCATTCCAAATTCCATTTCATTATACAGAAACAGGTCTGGTGTAAAAAAAATGGTAGACAGTTGTATTAAAAGAAATTTTACTGATATTATTGTAGTTAATGAAAATCAGTGCAAACCAAGTAAGTTTACTACTATTTGCATATTAAAAATAAAATACTCTACTTATTACAATTATTTAAATTTCTACAGATGGCCTATTGATAATACATTTGCCTAATGGACCTACCATGCATTGTAAACTAAGCAATGTAAAACTTACCACAGATTTAAAAAAAGATCATAAAGAAATAACTCAACATCGTCCAGAAGTAATTTTAAATAATTTTACCACTCGGCTGGGTCACACTTGTGCTAGAATGTTTGGTGCATTATTTCATTATCAACCGGAATTCAAGGGACGTAGAGTGGTAACGTTTCATAATCAAAGAGATTATATTTTCTTCAGACATCATAGGTAATCATTTTTTACTTTACAAAATTTTTAAATATAAAAACAACATTTGCATTAACCGTTTAAAAATGTTTGCAGGTATGAATTTGATAAAAAAACTGGAAAACCAAGGCTTAGGGAATTAGGTCCAAGATTCACACTGAGGCTTCGATCCATTCAACATGGTACATTTGATAGTAAATATGGTGATTACGAATGGATAATTCAAGGTAGACGTCACCAAATGGAAACTAGTCGCAGGAAATTTTTCTTGTAAACTATTTTTTTATTTAAATTCTATGCTAAATAGTTGACAATAACTACTATTGAAAGTTTGATTTGCATCAAATTAAAAATCTGAAAACAAAAAATGATTGTTAATAATGCATTGATTATTTATTATTTATTATTTATGTACAGTGGTAAATTAAATACATTTTTTATAAATTACGTAATAAAATTTACTTGTAAAAAACTTTAGAATTTTTTTACAACCATAAAACCAAAACGATATCAATATTACTGGTAAAAATAGAATTATTCTCAATGAGAATAAACATTGATTTCTTCTTGAAATTTACCGCTTTTTAAGCGGCTCATCGATCATTGGCATTGTTTCTGGTAACTTGACCCCAGATCAATGTATGGAATGCATTTAACAAATGAGGAAAGAAAAGGGTTGATACCTGAAGGATAATGTGTCTCAACTTTGGCTTCGGAATTAAAATGTTTACATAAATTGAAAACAAAACTATTCCCGTGAAATTTTGCCTTCGGCAATTAATAGAACGCGGCATTTTTTATGCGATGGTTGGTTAAATTGTTTTACTGGTTGCTAATTTAATATGATATTTAAAATTCAGTTCGTCAACGAAGTTGCGCTACAAAAAAAAATGAATGAAAGTGAACGGTCATATGAGCAGATCGTTTAGCCTATTAGTGCGGACCACAACGATGCACTTACACACTGTTCCATATTAGACTACGTAAAAAGTTGGCATTTTTGCAGGCGACAGCGGAACTAACGGTAAATTTCACATAAGCAGAACAAACACCACCACGGGCCACGGCCACCCCATCGTCAGTGCGCCGCCAAGTATAATAGTATGTGTGTTGTGAAGTTTTGCTTGCTTAAAGTGTGAATTGTGTTATAAGTAAATTGAACTGGACTATTACCACAAAAATGTCAGATCGTAACAGCCCGAGTTTTTTCCATGGACAACCCTGGTCCAGTTGGATAGAAACAATTGGACGCGACAAACCTTTAAGTAAGCATTTAAAAAAAAACGTTTTAGGTTAGTTTTATAACCTTTTAAATTATTTTATTTTTATTAATATAATTACTTGTTAATTTTATACTTTGACATAAGTGTATTCAGTATACTTCAATATTTAGAGTTTCGTGGTTTATCAATATTATGTCAACGTTTGACATTCAATTGATTTGTGTCATATATAATCAAAATAATTACTTTTAGTTTTTACCCTCGAAAAACCTACTTAATGTACTACTGCCTAGATGAAGCGAATTTTTATTTAACAGTTTTCACTATCATGTACTATAATTTTTATCATAGATAGATTTATTATAGAAACCTGTAAATATATCAAGTTCAAATAAACAAAATATCTTGTGCTATTGACTGAATTTCATATTTTAAAATGAACGATGAATTCCATTGATAATCCGAACAAAATCGAATTCGCGCATAATTTTTATGAACTATTAAACTTTTTTATGATTTTATAAAATTTTATAAAAGGACGGACTTTGGACTCGCATAAAAGTTTATAAAAGTTTATAAGAAAAATGTATGAATATTCATTAGAGTTTCCAATCGTTAATAAAATTTAATTAAAGTTTACAACGTTCTAACTTCATGGCGTATTTGACGATACATGAACGCAACTATGATAAAACTATTATTTATTTTTTTTAAACTCAGAAACAGCAAAAATTTCTATCCAAAAATTGATGATTTATTTTTAACTTATAAACGGTAACATTAAAAAAATGTTTAAACTTTAATTAAGATTTATAAAATTTTCTCGATCTTTTATAAACTTGAATCTATTTTTTTTTTGTGTGTTTATAAATATAATAAAAATTGATAACATTTTTTCACAAATAAATAAATAAATAATTTTATAACTTTTATAAACTTTTTTTGAAATTTAATACAAGTTTATTCAACCTTTTAATTAAATTTTATGAAAGCACATAAAAGTAACTCTATTTCTGTATAAGTAGAACAATTCTTACCTAAAAGAAATTTTTATTCTGTTTATTTACAATTGAATTATTGTAGGTGATGAAGAAGAAGTTGATAATGAGGCTTCAAACAAAGTAATGCGACTCTCACGAGAAGGTGAATATATATTCATCTCATAATTTTAAATTAGTTGTCAAAATAAACTGGAAAAATGTATGATATGTAGCAATTAATAACTAACAAATATTTTACAGACGTCGATTTGTATGGGTTTTGCCCAGAAACAGACCCATTTTATGCTGTGATATGTGAATATTGTCAAAGCATTGTGAAACCACAAGCCTTCAAACACCATATTGGTAAATTTTTGAAATTTTTAATAATAAATGATTATTTACATTTTGATATAAGTATTAAAAAAAAAAATCTTCTACAGCAACTAAACACTCTGATAAAAGCGTTAAAACTTCTCAAAATATTAACAATTCAAAACAGTTGACAAAACTACCCATTTGTAAAGTATCAAAATTAAAGACCAAGCAATTAAAGGAACTTACAAGTAATAAAAATCAAGCTGTAGCAGTTAAACAACAGAATACTGAACAATTAGCAGTATCACTGACAAAATCACCACAATCTCCTAGTGATTCCAATACAAACGTGATTAAACAAAATACCAGTACTTCATTTCAAACACCTACATCTCAAGTAAAAACAAGTACAAAACGGAAAAAACCAAAAGCTGATCGTTCTCTCTTGAAAGACAGAGAGTATGATCCCGATCGACACTGTGGGGTATGGAATGATGAGTCCCAAAAGCCATGCACAAGATCGTTAACATGCAAGGCACATACTGTCTCTCTAAGGCGTACAGTTCCTGGTCGAAGCAAAACATTTGATATACTCTTAGCTGAACATCGAGCTTCGAAAGAGCCTACTGCCACAAAGCTAGCAGCAAAACTGGTTTCGATGAAAACGACAAATTTATCACCAGTGGAAAATGTAAAGTTAACCAGTACTAATCAAGTAATCACAGGTGGTACTCTAGCATCTGCTGTATCTGCTACTTCAAACAATGAGACAACTGAGTCTCCAAATTCACCACCAGTTTTATCATTGCCAGATTCATATGCACTGCCCCAGGTAATTCTAAATTTAATTCAACTATGGTTCACTATCCTACTTCTTTTCTAGCATTACTATTCTCATCAGTATTTTAATCTTAAATTCTTTGTAAAAAATTTAAAAAGTCTAAGTTTGCACAATTACCTTCTGCTGCTTAGAATCAACTATAATTTTTTTCTGTTAATATTCAACTTCATTTCCTCAAAAATAAAATGATTCAATTCAATTTATATTTACAAAGTAGTTGTTCACAATTTTTCGTATGAAAAATAGACACATAATTAGACATAACAATGTAAACAAATATAAATAAATAAATAGGCTTTTGTTATATACTTCTATTTGTTATTACAGGCGGTAGACTTACTGTATAGATGTCTTGCCCCTCATGGTTCCAATAAAAATGTAATCATGGTTTCTTAGTTTACATAAAAATTATAAAATTGCTATGAGAAAAATATTAATGCAAATAATTTTTTAGGTCAAATTGGAAGATCAATTGGAGAATGATCTTGAGCAGAAAAACTTACAAAATACTGTTTGCAAAACAGAAGTAGATAATAGTACTGTGAAGATTGAAAGCTTATCACTACCACAAATTTCAGTGGTATTACCATCTCTTACCTCTATGAAAACATCCAATTTAATGCCTCAATATGCAACAGGTAGTACCAATAGAGGATCAGCTAATGACATGAATCAGCAGCTTCTGAATAGTACCAGAATGCAGGCAAAATATACAAGTGATAATAAAGTCAAGTTAGAAATTGATAATAAGAGTGCAGCTAAGTATTCTTCGCTGTTAATAAACAATAAAATGGATAACCACGAAAATCGCCATTCCAAACTAAATTATTACACTTCCGATGGCGAAGTTTTATATGAGCAGGAAAGTTCTAAAAAAATTATCACAAATGGTGGGAGAAAATTATCTTTGCATCACCCTTACCATCAAAATCGTATTGTTCGGTTAAAGCATGACATGTCAGAATTTTCACAACTAAAGTGTTTAGAAGTTGCAACATCTCCTATAGTAACTACAAATATCACAAACTTTGAGAACGTTACATGGCAGAAACAGCATCCGCAGCCTATGGCAGTTAGCCGCTGGCTTAAAATTAGTTCCAAAAAATATAATTTCAATATTCACTGACATAAAGCTTTACCCACCCCTGGCTAAAAATAGAAATGCTTAAAATGAGTGATGATGCACTTTGAAAATGTGTATTATCTCTAAAACATCGGTATTTTTGAAATTCTGTACTATTTATAAATGAAATTTCATCTTTTGTTAAGATACCAAACTTTAATTTAATTAATTTCAATATCACAGTTTTCAATCCATGATAGTCAGAAAAACTTGTGATACATTGAAATCTCCTGATTGTAAATATGAATAATTGAAGCAGATATGTTGTGATATTATACATTTGATCTATTTTGCCCTTTTGAAAAAATCAATTATTTTTTAATTGTAAATCAATTTATTACTTGAATTCAATTTTTTTTTATTTAAATTGAAATATTCAATGTTTATTATTTATATAACTTCAATTGCATGCTCCTAATCATCATCATTATGCATAAGTAAAAGATCCATTGTGATTTATGTATTGAAGAATCTTCAAGAAAACCTCTTAAAGAAAACTTCATGCAAGAGCATCATTATATTATAGTATTTTTCTCCTAGGGAGTGAAAAACTAGAAAATCTCAGAGCACGTGGAATTTATCAGCCAAGACTTCTCTGAGACTTTTTTCACAACATAGGTGCAAATAAAGCTTTTTTTGAATCCCCCTTGGAGGGATATTTCGATTTCGCTTGGTGCAAAATGTTACTTTAGGTTTCGATGGCCTAAAAATTGTCATATTTGCGTACGACGGCGCGCTAATAGTTTTCTAGTTGATTAAATCCCTCTGTAGATTAAATACTAAATTAATTAGAAGTTTAGTTCAAAGCGAGCTAAAAATGTTCAAAGGTAGTTTAGTTAGACTGATCCTTATTTTCCAAAGTGTTTTAGAATCCACAGTAGAATCATAGTGGGCAATTTAAAAACGTGATAATACAAAAAATTCCTGATCAATTTAAGTGAAAAAAGCACCCTGTTACTCGTTACTATTTTGTATCCGAAGAGGAAGAAATATGTCTTTTCAAAAAGAAACGAGTTTCGCTTCTTCAAATTGTGGCAAATGTTGAAAATTATTTTTTGAGCCCAGTGTGTTAGAGAGGATACAAACACTGTGAAAAATTAAGACTAGTCTAATGAGTATACCATAATAAACTTATTTGTTTCATAGAAATTAGGTTGTTATATATTTTGTCAATTTTTTGTATATAAAATATTGTATATAAAATATCAATTCATTAAGCTAAAATGTAGAAACTTATTGCTAAACGCGTTATAATTGTAATGTGCAAAAATGTTCAAGACTAATCCGACAGTACTCATTGTTTCATTGTTATTCATGTCTAGGAAACGAAAAAATATGAAAAACCTCCGCTGACGCGTAATTAAAGATGTGTTGGCGAAGCCTCGACTGATGATTACACATGTCCTGGGATTTTTCGGATTTTCGTGGCTTAAGGCAGTGATAATTTACCAGTTTCATCTTTTTCTTATCTTGTATTACAAAAAAAAATCACCTCGTTGTTAAGATCAATTTTGTTTATCTACAGATTTATTTTCAAATCACTACTTTTTTTAGAAAATTGAAATTATTAAAATAAGATTAAAATATGAAAAATTCGACTAAACTTTGATTAATTTATGTATACTCAAATGTTTTAGTTTAAAAAAAAAATTCTCATACAAAAAAAGAAACTCAAGCTTAAGTCGCAACATCAGAGGTTTACCTTTTTTTATTAAAAATGGACATTTATGAAATTATGTATCAATAGATGAAATTTATCTTAACAACTATGTATATAAAAGCAAATGAGCTCTATGATTATGAGATTTATTAAATTATAGGAGCTGAAATTAGGGAAAAATTAAGAGTAAAAAGTCAATTTTTATAGATGAAAAGGTATTTTTCATTATGAATATGTTAGCATCATAATGTATTATTATTGTTCAATATAATATATACATATTACTACATGAATTCTTTTTGTATCAGTATTATACATTTTTTTAAATTTTTATAATTGTAACTTTTTGGTGTTTGAAAAACCATGAGATCTATTTTTCTTTCAATAAAGTGTCTTGCAATAGTTGTAGATTTCGCAAGATTGTTACAAGAATATTGATTGAAAGTATGGTGTAAACCCAATTTCAATTATTTTTTTATGCATTATTTTGTCACTTTAACTTGTTAATGAATCAATTTTCATAAAAAGATACGATGTTATTGATAGGAACAATTGAGTTCAAATTTACAAATGTATAAAAGTGTGTATCAAGTGTGCCTGAACCGTGTGAAAACTCATGAAATTATATTACTCAATTTTTCAACGTATCTAGATTGTGATATTTAAAAGTCGATCCTGGAAGTTGAACGTAGAACTTTTAAAAATTTAAACTGTGGTGTCAAAACGAGTCCCTTGCATCAATCGTTGCTGTAGTTTGAATAGTATTACGACTTTTTTGTACATAAAATATAGATATATCAATGCGGAGTTTTGTTCCGTTTTAAAACGCTTATACGAATATTATATGTGTGTGTACATATATACTAACTACGTTATTTCGAAGATTAAAAATAATTACAAATAACTAAAATTATTCAATTTATTCTTACATACTACATGTATAAATAGATAAATTAATGGCAGCTAAAACGAGTCGGCGTGCCTATTCTTATTTTTCAAAATTGCACTTCACAAAGACTGAAAGTCCTTAAGTAATTGTAACAAGAGAGTTCAGTTTCAATTTTGAAGAAAATGAAAATGAATTCATTAATTGTGTATGTACGCTAACGCTGTGTATATATAGTGTACTTAGATTTTTTCAAAATAAATGAATGATGTTTAAAAAACAACTTTTACTTAACATGAATTTCGTTATTTTTTTTTTTGTTAAACATAGAAATTATAAAACAATTTTTACTTAGTACTTGGAGAAATAAAGTAAGCAATAAAATAATTGACAATGTATAACAATAGAGACAATCAGGGAGATATTTTTTTCATAACATACTGTGTTCTGAAAAACTCTCAAATGGACGTTTATTTTGCCTGGGTTAAAGCGATAAGTCTATCATTGCTGTTGCGATGGCTTTGATCCACACCGATGCACCAAACGCACCAGCATCCATGTCTTTAAGGTATTTCAATTGTTTTACATAGCTCGCTCGGCCAGCCCTTGAATAAAAAGTTCGTTTTAATAGTATGCTAAAATACAAGGCGTTGCTAACTCCTTACGGAAAAATTGGTTTTAATTGAATTTAAAAAAAAAAAGAAATAACATGCATAAACTATAATAGTAATGTGAGAAATGAATTTCATCTACGTATCCTTACAAAGCCTCTTATGGGTCCAATTATTTTACAAGCAGTTGCTGTGCAAAGCTGTTATTATATATTTCAAATTTATTACTTTAAACCTGAGTAAGATATTCAAAATGTTTCTCTTAAAGTTATCGCGCAACTGAAAAAATTGGAGACAAGACACAAAGAGCTTACAAAACATCTTAAACTCTTATGTTTCGTATCGTTCGTTTTCGTATTTCTTGGGTGTTCATTTTGTTTTCCTTTTTTTTTATTTTGGCAAATTATGCTTTAGTTTACCCGTTGTAAGATTCAGAGCAGACCATTTGAACTACGGCGCATAGGTGGAGTATTAAACTCATTCAGAACATTAATCGTTACGACCACTATCTCACGCACGGAAACTACTTTATCTCCGAAAAAAATCAAAATTTTGTAATTATAAAAAAAGCAACGAAAAGGGAAAAAAATCTTACTAAAAATTATTACTAAAAATGCAATGAAAAATTTCTAGTTGAAGACGTACATATCGAATCCTTTAAAAATTCGAAAGAAGAATGAATAAATTTATTCATTAAATATACAAGAAAGCCAACTTGACCGAGGATTTTGCAAAACCAATTTAATAGAGCCGATCGTTCGAAAATTTACCTAGGAATCAAATATTTTGTCGCTTCGGCGTGTTTCTCAGCAGCTTTCGCCACTATAGACAATACTGCGTCGTTTGCAAAATTACTTTTCAAATCTTGAAGCGTAGGCTCCAAAACATCGATCTGTGCGAAAAAAAATCAACGAAATTGAAAAATTACAAAACTGTGTCATTTTAATTAGTTTGATATTCTACCATTGTCTTGTCTCCCAAACGAGCTGCACTGTAATTTTTTATTCCTTCAATTCCCGCAGACCAAGCTTCCATCCAAATTTGAAGCCAATTATTATTTTTGAGAATTTGTTTTTTGATACTGGCTGAGGCAGTGGTGAACATTAAACCGTACAAAGCACCGGATGTTCCTCCCATACGATTCTCGGCTATGCTGGCAATCTCCGTAAGTAAAGTTGCAGGATGAGACAAACTAAGCTGATCGATCGATGATGAAATCCCTGCAAATTTTCAATGCAAAATTCTGAATATTCGAAATAAATTCTGACTTAATATCTAATCTGACACACTTCACCATTAGCGAGTCGTTTGAGAGTCGAACCACAATCATTGTCACCACAAGCTCGGTCCAAATCGTTAATCGTCCTTTCCTCGTGAATAATTTCTCCGCAGGCTTTGTTCAAGCAAATTTTCATCAACTCTGTTTGTTTCTTGTTTAGAGCGGGTCCCAAAAGACATTTACTTTCTTTTTGATCAACTTCGAGTGATTTTTTTATCGGTTCTCTGGTTGATGGTATACTAAGCGATCCACCCGGCCACTTGGGAGCGTTTGTTGTTTGATCGAGAGCCTCTATTATAAATGAATCGTCGGCGGCAGCAAGTTTTAGGCACGTTACGTGTACACCTGCACTATCTAAGGATGACATTAAAGTTCCCGAGTATATCCGAACTGGTTGAATATTTTTTTCACCTGAAAGAAAAAAAGGATAAAATTGTTATCTTAATTGATCCTTATTTTTGTCTCTTCGTTCAGAAGCCTCTTACGCAATTGTTCGACGACTTCTTTTGTCACAATTCCTTGCTCCAACTGACTTAATCCACCGAAATTGTTTATCAAAACTATCACTTTATCTTGTTCCTGCAGTTGCAGCGTTTTTATGATGGTATCAAGCATGAGTCCGACCATGAAACGAGCTTTTTGTAGCTTGATTCTTTTGTATCCAGCTTCACCGTGTAATCCTTGTCCGAATTCAACCTCATCGTTCGGAAGTGTGAACATTGGACCCCGACCTAATTACGGCACATACATTAATTTTCAATGAATTTTATTTGTATACTTTGGGCTATTCACCGGGCACAATGCAAGGAGTCAGTCCAATGGAGCACGAAGCTATGCGACTAGCTACCGATTGTGCCCAATTAGTGACTTCCTCCAGATTTCGGCCCATTTGTGCGAAAGCTCCGGCAATTTTGATGACCAACAAAATGCCAGGTAGAGCGCGTTTTCCAGCAATGCCAAGTTCATCGTCCGGAATGCTGCAGTCCTCACCAACTATTACTTGGTTGACCTATAACATTTTTTCTCTCAAAAATGCATCGATTTATATATGCGTTCACTTTGTTTGAATAGCATATTTTTGAATTTCGTACTTTTAAACCTGAACTTCTTGCTTTTTCGATTGCCAAACCGAAATTCAAACAATCACCAGTATAATTGGGAATAATCACGAGGCATCCAGCTGTAAAATCATTCATTCGTTACATTCCGGAAAAAGTACATACTGCGTGTAGTAGTATACCTTGACTAGCTCTACCGAGACATTTAATAGTCTGCAGTATGTGACTTGTGGGTGGTGCTGCGTAAATTGAGCCAGAAACCGATGCCGTCAGCATCCCATCGCCAACGAAGCCTGCGAGAAAAATTTCAATGTTAACTTATGACGCTAATAACTTTAACGTTCGCTGCTCTATCAGAGTAATCGACGAACCTGCGGGAAATGGCTCGTGCCCACTTCCTCCGCCACTGATGATGGATACTTTGTTGTTACTAGTGCTCCACTATAGATGAAAAATCAACACGTTTGAGCCATCTCGCACTACAGCTTGCTATCGCAATTTTCAACGCAATAATTAAAACTTACTCCACTTTTGAAAACCACACGTTCGAGCTCGTTCAATTCGAGCTGCGGATAAGTGAAAACCAATCCTTTCAGAGATTCGTCCACTGCGTCGTCCACCAAATTAAGCAAATGTTTCCCGGACATTGTGTGTTGATTGAAAGTCAACGACTCTTTTCGTGCCTATATACGAAAGACTGAGCCGACGATAAATGTGCCGATCTAAAGGGTCAAACGCGACTCAACGTGACACTGATAATTTTGAAAAGTAATGAGTTATCTTCTCATGCGACACATCCATACATACTTCAATTTTAATTTGAAGCTTATTGCCAATGCTGAAAGATTAAACGATATAGACACACGTATTATTTAATGACTTATGTAAGATCATCAACAAGTCTGACCTTGTTCCATACGATATCGATAATTCACTGAAAATTATCCCGTAGTAACTTATCTCTGCTAGTAGTTTTAAATAGAACGTTAACAAAGTAAAATGAGATCTGCACTTGAATCAATACTCTGATCTACTTGACTATCTGAAATATAAAATAACGTGTAAGATTTCATAAAAGAATCATTATAAATTCAATTTATGAATTTATAAAATTCTTCAATTCAACTTATTGATTGGTATTCTCTGTAAATTAAATCATATTTAATTGAGTGTGTATATTTGTGAAGCACTATTACTTTCATGCAATAATAATAAAATAAATAATAATAAAAAAAAAATAAAATTGTAAAAAATTTTGTATGCAACGCGAGTCCAGCTTTTTGCCCTTTGAACCCTTATGACAAAAATAAAGGATGATGGAATAAAATAAAGAGGAAACCATGAAAAATTATAATATACAGATAGTTCATTATTTGAATTACATATTATTTATACAATTTAAAAACATCATGATTATTAAAAATTATAATTTTTTAACTTTTATACACGCGCATTTTCGTTCAAAAATCTTGAACTTTATCATCCTTTATTTGCTTCTTATAATCATTGGCAATTATTTTAATTTGTGCTAAATTTTCTTCCAATTCATTTTGCAAGCTTCTTTTGACATCTTGATCAGAAGAACTCAAAAATTGAAGTACCAAATCTGCAAAAATAAGAAAAAAAATGAGATTTAATTTTTTGAAGATCAAATTTCTGAAAATAATTGTATTACCATGATATTTAAAGAGTGTAACACCAGTGGCTTCAATCAAAAGAGGACGCAAAAAAGTGAGAATTGTAGAAACATGTCTTCCAGACATGTGCAATGCATTTTGAGTAGTAGCTATGAATAGTATAGCAGTTGTTAAGTGCAAAGCTAGTGCAGGATCTTGTGTACAATTTAATTGCTCCAACATAGCTTCTCGGTGACCAACCACAATCGCTCTATCTTTTTTCTTATCATATTTTTTGAGTACTAAACAACAAGCAGCCATAGCTGGTTCAACAGAATTTATAAAATTTTCTACTGAATTTCCACCAACAACTTTATGTAGTTCGCTCAATGGCTCTCTTACATCTTTAGGTAATTCTAGAAGCATTTTATGTCTGACTTCAGTGCTCAAGTTTGGAGGACATTGTATAACATTTTGTTGAGCGGATAATTTAAAAATTTCGGTAACAAAGTCAGCACCTAGTGTTTTAAGCAGATATTTGACCATTGGTTCTTGAATTGATTTTTCCAAACATTTAATTCCTCTTTCATAAACTCTAATAGTTGTAACAAAAGAATTAAGTTTTTCCTCTACTTCACTTAAGTTTGTTGTTTTGTGTTTCTGTGACAACTGCTCTGCAATTGATGCAGCAGTTTTATTCAATCCCTTTAGAAAATGAATGGCTAATTCGTCTATTAGTTCTTCCATATCTCTTAAATTTTCATCTTTACTCAATTCAATTTTTAAATCATCAATATTTATGAGATCAAATTTACCATTCACTTTTTCAGGATTTTCGTCATCAGACTCAATGTCTTGATGTTTATTTTGTTGATATTTTTTTTTAGTCGATTTTGTTTTTGTTTCTCTGCCTTGGCTACCTCCACCAGTTTTTCCTCCAGTAGCTTTTTTTCTTCTCTCAGATTTTCGATCTGCTTTAGTGTCGATGATATCCATTGCCTTTGATTTTATTTTGTTTTCAACTACAGATTGAAGCCATTTTCCACTTTCAACTGCTTCCTTGGCCTTGTTATCACATAAAACTTCCAAATTTTTCTGGATTTTTTGCAAGTAAGCATCAGACACAATCATTGTAGAAGAAAATATATGAATAAAAGATTTCATTCTTGAAGAAGATTCTTTTAACAGTAATTCTGCATCACAAGGACTAAAAACTGATGGCAATAGCGAATAGATATCTGTAAAAGAGCCAGTTGCAACTACTTCTTCAATATTTGCATTTACTTGATCAATTATTATTGAACCAACTGCTACAGAATCTAAATAAATGAGATTTTCATCAGGAAAATGACGTTTCACAAAATTTTTAGGATCAGAAATACCCAATCTGGACATGGCATCGTATTCTGAAAAAAACAATCATTTTCCAAAATAAAGTTTTTTTCAAACTTTTAAATTAATCTACATTCTTACCAAGATAACCATTTTGTCTGTAAAAACTATCAACCCACTCAGATTGACCCTTGGAATATATTGTAGGTACATAAATACTATTACTGCCTTGTTTACCACTCACAACACCTGGAATCTGTTTCTTATCTTGAAGATTTTCCATAATAGCTATAGTATTAAAAATTAAAAAAAAAATCGTGCATAAATAAGTATAATATCATATAAAAGTTTAAGTTGATTTGATATTTACAAAAAAATATTCTTTCTGGAACTGCACACTGTCCTAAAATAGCAGAAATTGGTGTTGGTCTCGTTAAAGCTGAAAGAGCTCCTCTTATTTTGGCTTCATTTCTGGCTATATATTCTTGATTGTAAATTAATTTTGGATCTTGAGAATCTTGTTTACCAAAAATTGTTTTTCCCAATTCTTTTTCAATTGTAGATTGAATAAAATCAGCTGGTAAATCATAGTGGAGTGTAAGATCAACAACATTTATAAAGCCATTTTGATTAAGTTTGTCATTGATTTCTTCAGAAATTTTATTTATATAAGTTTTATCAATTAATTGTCCTAATAATATTTTGATGCCTCTGTCATGTTTTTCAATTTCAGCACTTGCTTTAGAAATCTGAGATAAATCAACATTTAAAATCTTTGCTAATTGGGCCAAATTTATTCTTCCCCCATGCACAAAAAGCTCATCTTTAATTTCTTGTGCTAAGTGTTGAGGAGTTACATATTCTTTACCATCATTAGTAAAAATCACATTAAGTAATTTGTCTTCAGTTAGTTTCATAATGATCTCAACACAATTTCGTTCGGATAATCTGAAAATGACATAATTTTAAGTAAAAATCATAAATTAAAAAAAAATTATCAACAACAAAAATTACTTTTGTAATGCATTGCTAAGCTGTGCTTTTTGAAAATCTGCAGCTAGCCTTTTAACTTCATCCCAATCAGCTGTAGTCATCTTGTTTTGTTTTCTTTAAAATTCAATGAATGAAAAACCAAACTAGTGATTCAATGCGTCAATTCTATGTCAAAAGTATAAAATAATTAATTCACAAGTAAATTTCAAAGCTTGCAATATGTTATGAACAAGTTACTTATGCTACAAGTTACGTTTTATTCGAATTGCCCTTACAAAACTCAATCAAGTGCAGCATTAACTTATAGACATATGGAAAATGACGAGTACGGACTACGCCGAGTACGCCGATTTCAATTTTATACGTGTTCAGCTGTATTAGTATATTTATTTTGATATAGGAACTGCTGCGGATCACCACTAGAACTACATGCTACAACTCCCACCTTTCCTTTTTACAAGTGTCAAGTGTATACACTTATACATACAACATATAATCCATGTGTCTGGCCGTTTATCGTACTGTCAAATTTGGTCAATGACAGTCATCATTCAGAATTTAAGACTTTTTCTTCACTTAGTGATATAAAATGTAAACATGTTTGAAAATATATGTAATGTAAAATTTCAGTTATATGGCAAGTTCATTTAATTTTATATACTAATTATAAGTAAATGAGTAATAGGTAGTACTGGTTAAAAAAATTATTTCTTCAATTATGATCTCTATTGTCATATTTTTATTTTTCAAAACAATATTTACAATAAATTTCTCCATTTCAATCAAACTATGATATTAATTGCTTTATGACTAATTTTGTGAATCTGCTTTATTTTCTAATGCTGTTTCTTCAGATTGAAATGCAAATGTTTTTGGTAGACTTATTTGAGAAGTCATCCAAGTTGGAATAATTTTAGCGTGCATTCGCCATACACCATATTGATTACTGAGATGCTTTTCAAAAACAATGTAATCTAACACATCTTTAGTTAGTACTGGTGAACCACTGACCAACCTTCCAAATCGATCATACATGACTAAAGATTGTTGAGTATGAAATCTACACGTTACTTGTGCAAAAACATTAGTGTCTGTTAACATTGTTGTACATCGAGCATGTACAATCCTTGCTGGTTCTAGTGATTTTATGAATTTCCATTGAATTTGTTTATTTTCCAAATTACAATACATCTGAGGGTACAATTTTTCAGTAATATACTGTTGAATACCTTCTTTGTCTTTTTCAGCTAATAACTGATGAGCTGTCTTATAGATTTCCAAAGCCTGTTCAGGAAAGTCACTGGCATTGAATTCTTCTTCATACTTTTTAATTTTTCTATAAGCCTGATACGACTTAGTTTTTTTCATTAGAAATTCCATATTTTGCTTGGCACCAGTAGTTGAGATTGCTGAAAATTTACCATCTCCTTCAGGTGGAATATAAGGTTCAAAAATAGCGGAGGTACAACTGATATACATTGGTTTCTCTAACCAAGGCTTTTGAGGAAAAATCCCTCTTTCCTTCATTTTTTGACGCCTTTGACTGTGGCTCAAGTTATCAGGGTCTTCGTTTTGTGATTCGAACCTGGATAAGTCAATTTTAATAACTTTTTCACCACGCATCCTTTTCCATTTTGGATCACGATGTTTATTACGCATGTAACGCACTGATTGAGGAGTGTTAATTGCATGAACAATCCTCGAAAATAGTGAAAGTGACATGCTTTTGTAATGTTTTTATGTTTATTTAAAATTGTATGAACTTTGATCACTTTTCCACCTCAGACTATTATCTGACAATGTATTTTAACCTAATTGCTCTAGCCGCATCTGACATGATTTCACTGAAGTTTTTTATGTTGGTACCTTTGTGGATAGTTTATAATTTCAAAAATAAGGAATACTTAAAATTTGCAAACTATTGGCTATTAAAAATGTTCAATTTCATTTGAATATTGTCGAACATTTACTCACTTTAACTTATAAAATATTTTTAACAAATTTTAAAGCTTTTAATGAACTAGTTGAATAATCATCAATCCAATTTTCGTAAAGTTGGTAAAATTTACCATTGCTTAAAATTGAGAGCTATCTTCAGGTTTATTATTCCACGGTGTAAGTGTAAAATTGTAATTACTTACTATTGCTATTGTTGAGCCGGATAAATTACTTTATTGACAAAAGTGACACAGTAAAACGTTAATATGCGATTGACAGCTTTTTTATGTTTCGGTAAACGGCCTCATGGAATAAAATACAGAGGGTAAGCAAATGATTTCAATTGATTGATCTTTCGATAAATTTATCATTTAACCTGTTTATTGGATTTTTTTTTAATTAATTACCATTTTTACTTATGTTCATCACAAGAATTTTAATCCTCTCATAGTCATTCCAATGTTACGTCTGTCTAAATCATAAGTATTGACGTGGAATTCTCCATTTAGAAAATTTTTAATTCTTTTTTTAGAAAATATCGGCAGATAAAACCAATCACCAATTTTGATTTGCTGACAATGAGACATGATTTCGATAGAACAGAAAAGAATATGTTCTATTTGCGCCATCCATACTTAACAGTTGAACAATCTTTTGGCCATTCAAAATCTCCAGCTGAAAAATATTCAAAGTTCCTAAAGAAAATACTACATAATAGAAATCAAGATTTTGAAAAACATACAACGTTAGCTGAAGTTTTAGCTCCTTTGAAGGTTTCAGAAGCTTGGGATTAAAAAGTCATGATTTGTTATATATTTCTTAGTGTTATGTGTAAACTTTAAAAATAATATTAAAAAGTCATTTTAACATTTTTTGCAGTTATATTTATTTCCAATCAGGTAAAACATAATACGAAACAAACAAACAGCAGCATATAAGAAAATCAGTTTAAAATAATATAAATACTTTTCATTGGTAGCTTTAAAACAATGCAATAATAAAATTAACATCACAAATTATAGTAACTTGATCATAATTCTAATAAAGTGTGTACATCGCTTAAATTGAATGCTATTGTAACAATTCCTTGAGACGTTTAATGGTGTTACAGTGTGGTAATATTTCTGTTGTTGAGAAAATCTTGAAATCCTAAAATATGAGAAGCTTAAAAAATTTCCAGTTATTTTTGGTCCCATCTTTCAAGCATGCACACAAAAAACTAGAGCTATTTTTAACTCTAATTGTAATAAACATAATCAATTATAATTGTAAAAAACATAATCAATTATGATTGTATTAAAAGTAATATTCAATAATAATATAATACTTTTGAAATTTTTAGTATAAGTTACTAAGAGAAGGTTGAGCTGAAATCAGTTTTGTAGTTGTAGATAACTTGTAGAACAATTCCTAAACAACTTTTTGCTACGATGGGTACATTTTGTAGAAAGAAACTTTGAACTTTATGGAAGAATACTATAACATCCATCATTTTAATTTGCATTGGAAAAATTTAAATTGATGATCAAATGCTCAACTTCAACCTTTTCTTAATAAAACTTGATCTGAAGTTCCTTACGACGTGGATATTGGCATAGTTTGAAGATCTTTTGGTTTATTGCGAATCCATGCAACAGGATCTTTTTCCACCTCATCTTCTGTCAAAGTTTTGCCTTCATAAAGATAATTAGCAAAATCTGACACAATTGGATCTCTTCCCACACTGCTCATTGCTATAACTTTGCAATTTTTAATGTAATAAGCAAAAAATTTCATTTCTTCTAATGACCCAACTATTTTCACTTTGTCAGGAATTCCAAATCCTTGAATAAAAAAATTTTTCATGCATTATTCCTAGTTTTATACTCTGGAAATATTGTACACATTTCAGCATACCTGCATAACGATAACTCTTTCCAAACAAAGTTGTCCAGAAAAATGGAACTGCTTGCAGTGGGGTTTGATTTCCACACATATTCATAGCTGCTATTTTTCCATGATAATGAGCAAGTCCATAATGACCAATAGCTGCTTTGGTTTTAGCGCAATAAACAGGTGCATAGGCAATATCTCCTCCAGCATATACATCATCTATATTTGTTTTTAAATACTGTAAGAAAATATTTTTAATTCAAAGATAGAAAGTAAGAAAAAAATTAAAATTTATAAACGATGAGTACCTCATCCACTATCAAAGCACAATTGTCTGTCATTTGTAAACCAGAATCCTTCAACCATGTTGTGGTTAAATTTGATCCTATTCCAAGAATCACTATATCTGCTTTCAAAGACAAATCTTCTTTCAATTGTACTTTACCAACAAGTTTTTCATCATCTTCTCTTGGAATAAACTTAAGAATACAATTATTGTCTATGAATTTTACTCCTACAAAAACAATTTAGAACAAAATTAATTATATTTTTACATTATAAAAAAAAAAAATTATACCTTTATTTTGAAATTCCTTTTTTATTCTCATTCCTATTTCCTCCCCAAAAACAGACTTGAATGGAACACAATCTCTTCCAATAACAGTTACTGAGGCACATTTATCAGCGCAATAAGCAGCAGCTTCCATCCCTATAAAGCCTGTTCCCAGAACTACTATGTGATTTTTTTTTGTAACATCTTCTTTCAATAATTTATGAATTCCACTTGAATCTTTGAAGTCTTTTAAGACAAAAATATTTTGCAAATTGACACCAGGAAGATCTGGTCTTCTTGCCTGACTGCCCGTAGCTAAAAATATTTTTGAGTACTTGTATTCTTGATTACAGGTCAAATAAACGGTTTTCTTATTTGAATCTAATTTTACAGCTTCGATATCAAAAACTGTTTCAATGTTATTTTGCTCATAAAAACATTGTGGTCTCAGTAGTATATTTTGTACATCAGTATCCATTGCTTTTGAGAGTTTAACCCTATCATAAGGCAATACACCTTCTTTGCAAATCAATATAATACGCCCTTCAAAACCTTCCTGTCTCAAAGTTTCAGCACATGTTGCTCCTGCTGGTCCACCTCCCACAATAACAATGGTTTCGGAGTTACATTTATTCTTCCTCACCATACCTTTAACTCTTTTATTACCTAACAATTCTGATTGTTTAGCTTTAACTTTTACAAGGCCTTTATCTACTGACACCTAAAATACAAAATTAGAATCAACTTTTAGGCGATCAATCATCACAGAAATATCACTAGTTATTGAAAAATTGAAAATGAAAAAAAAAAACTTAAAACAAAAAAAGTCAGTTGACAAACGTACTTGGTAACATGGCAAAGAATCTAATCCTGGAAAATCTTCAATATCACCTGTCTTTATATTGAAACAAGCACCATGCCAAGGACATCTGACTCGTCCTTCTCCTAAAGCACCAGTATGTAAGAGAGCTCCATAGTGAGTGCATTTAGTTCCAATAGCATGCAACTCTCCTTTCTGCTTTATCAGTAAAATTTTTCCGTCATCTCCCAGGGGTAAAAGTTTCATTTCATTTTCTTGAATGTCAGTTTCTTTGCACACTACATCCTCCACATAAACCTCGGTTTCTAAATTGCGAAAATTCATGAAAAAAATTTAGATCATTTAATAATGTTCAAACTTGCAATAAAAATATCTCGCTCACTAGGGCACTTGCAGTTGGACTTTTCGCTATCCATAATCAATTAATTATTAGAAGACGTAAAATAAGCAACTCAATAAAAACTGCAAGTTTCCGCTTGATAAGAAAATTAAATCTCGATTAATTAGTATCCGTAATTCCATAAAAGCTCGGTAAAAACAAGGTTTAAGAAATTTAATTATGTTGCTGCGTTACTGTCGCAATACAAAGCAATGGCAAGGTTTTCCGCTATCAATATAGTCCGTATGTTGTTACTACCCCAATCATAACCTCTCAATTATTTATAAAGGCGCAACCGGCAAATTAACTAGTTTTTCTTTATAAATCCGGGTATTGATGAAACATCATTATATATGGAAAAAAAAAAAAACAAAAAGCTGTCGGACGTGAATATACATCCGTTGACATGTCCTGCTCGATTCGAAACGAGCTGTCAAGCTGTATTAATCATCTTTGATAGAACGATATAATTTGAAAAAAAAATGAAGTATAACTCACTGTCATAGTTTTCAGCTTTCGTAGAAAAGTTGCTACTCTTAGATGGTTTGACCTCGGTGCTTCTTTTAGGAGAGAAACTTTTGCTTTTGCTTGCACCCATAGTAAAATCTTGTGAGTACAAAGATCGTCAATAATCCTGATTCCTGCGAGACAAGACGACGACAAAAGTTCATAAGAGCTTTGAAAGTTGGCAGACCGTTAAAGGAATTATCAAGTCGAGCCGATCACGTTGTTATCGATTATGATGGCTTAATTGTTTTGAAGATTCACGTAAATCGATAAGAAACTCATTTAATAAATATCATGGCTACTTCAATTAAAATATACTGAAATTATAAATTTGGCCAATTACAAAGAAAATCACCGCAGCTGAGACGGAACTTACTGCGTGACATTCCAGATAATACGGATCTTGTATGATGTGCCAAGGACTTTTAACGCAATACGTTCCACAAAAATTCCACAAAAAAATAGCCAAAATTTTTATTTTTGACCTGCAGAAATGACTGACTGTGCCAAAATGGCAAGATATTTCTATTTCGATACACAAGCGTTTCTGATCATTTATTTATTATGAATCGCGTGTGGTTCACCGCACCAACGTTACAATAATTACAGTTTGACTGAAGCGCATAGTGGAGTACTTAATTTTTGAGACGGCATTAAGAAATTATCGAAGCCGAAGTTAAAAGAGAAATATTCAAAAACGTTTTCTGAAATTTCTACCGAATATTTTACTAAATCACTACACGAATATCTTTATTTTAATGTCAGGCCAATCGAAAAAATCTTTAGTGAAAATCACAGAAAACACTTCATCATATTTTTTCGTTTTTATCCTAGTTTTAGTTTGTCTTTGAAGCAACTGAAATCAGTTAATCAGTTTTAAATGTCAAATTTTTTGTTAATCAACTCAGCGGCTGGTTTGGATTACGATGCACAAGGACCAATCCTTTCAATCGACCAACAACGCGTATGACTAATTTTAACAGCTTGTAGCGAGTCGACTCGTTTATCTAAACACTTGTCGGTCACGGATTTGAAAACTATAGCCAAGAAACGTTACTCACTTTTAGGATATAATTCTCGCGCGCTCAAGTGACTGCGCGGTCTCGTTCGGTCGCACCGTGTGATCTATCTGATATTTGCCAAGCGAGCTGCACCAGTAGCGGCCGTTGTTCCGTTCGCGGCTGCAACTTGCTACGAAATGTAAGTGAAAGGAAAAATCTACTTGGTGCGTAGAGGCCGAGCGTGGGGAAAATTGTACGCTATTATTATTATTTAAAGGGAACTTGCGACATGTATACCAGATAGAGCATTACATGCATATTTCGTCTCTCAATACGTGCTTGCGTGCGCGTACTATCATTGTTTGCCTTTCCAAGACATTTTTATCGCTACCGAGGTTGTAAGCATGGTCCGCTCGTAATATAATCTTGGAGCTGGTAAATGAAATCAGATAAACGTACAATTGAGCAGTTTGATGAACAAAAATTTTTATTTTCATTGACTTGTTATTACAAGTGTATCTCTGCTGTAGCGCATACATACTAGCATTACTGTTTCTTTTTTTTTATAATCATTGTACAATACAAAATAATATATATATAAGAGTTAAAAACAAAAAAAAGTTTAAAGTTGCAGGTTGAATTGCTTGGAGTAAAAAAAAACTCGACATGATTGGTAAAAATGTATGCCGTCGGTGAGCGGATTTACAAGTCGAAAACGGAATTAAATTTTTTCATCATTATTGTACGAAACGCGAGTCGGGCCCAATGACAGGTTCGCTCCATACATATGGAGTGAGATTTTTAAGGTCGTTGAGTTTTTTAATCGCTTTCGACGGGTCATATATGCGTATAGCTTCTTCGACCATGATTTTTATTATAATCAAGTAAGATTACAATTTTTAAAGAAAAGTAAAATAATTTTTCAATATCGACAACATAAAATCGAAATTTTTTTACAAATATCTCGTCGCATATTTCATAAAATATCCAAAGAATTGGTATTAATTAATGTACAATTTTTTATACGTCGATCAATTCATTACGTGCTGCTAGTACAGTTGTTCTGAACACGTTTGTGGAAGGTAAGATGTATGAATTTACACCACAGATGTTTCGAATACAGTGAATTAAAAAACCCTTTAGAATTAGAAGAGACGTAAATAAAAGAGCCTTGTGCTTTCAATCAAATACAATAAAACTCTTACATACTAACACAGAATCGCTAAAATTTACATTAATTTTAAAACTACGTTTTGTAAATTTTATAATTATATATTATACTAACTAGCTAATTATTTTCTAATCTTCCATTAGAAAAATTAATTTTTAATAAAAGTTAAGGGTAAATGATAAAAATGGCTGAATAACTTATTTAAAAAAGTAGGGAGAACTCTAAAGTAACAATGGATATTAACGGAAATCAAAATTGAAAAACCACCTTTAATAAGTCGATAAGAGTGTTAAAAAATTAAATGTACGATAAAAAAAACAATAGCACAGTAAAGTACCTTTGTAGTAAAAAAGTAATAAATGAGTACGACTCTCAGAATGGAATTAAGCTGTGTAAAGAATCTATCTCTATGAAAGCTCGGTAGTATTTGCTTTCATTTCACTACTGACAAACTGGTTTAAGCTAAAATGTAAGCGCAAGTTATTCCTGAGCTCATGACTATTTGATCATGCCTTTGGCCTTGAACAAATCGCGCATGAGCTTTTTCAAGTAACCGATTTCTCGTTCCAGATCTTTAACGTTCTCTTTAAGCTTTTCATTTTTATTGACTAACTCCTGCTCCTCGCCGATTATCATCTTGATTTCCTGCTTCTTTTTTTGACGGTAACGCGTTGCAGCGTTCTTGTTTTGTTCTTTTTTGCGAGAGCGCTTGTCCTCAGCATTGGGGCGCGAGTAGGGTTTATTGCTGGCGCGAGGTTTACGCCCAGCACCGCGAGCGGGCTTGCCGCGAACAGCTGATGCAGCAGCTTGATCATTAGCAGCAGATTCGAGCGACCACTCTGGATCGTCATTCGAATCCTCGGATGACATGCAACTACCATTGGAACTGGTGCAAGGCGAAGCCGGGGACGAAGACGATGTGCACGAAGCAGCCGAGTTTCCACTGCTTCCTCCAATCGCATCTTCGACACAGCTGAGCACGTACTCGTCGACTTTAGCCAGTTCCTCGTCAACCGACGCGACATCGGTACTTGCTTGGCTCAAAGAGTCCAACGACAGATTCCCTGCAGCCCATTGTCCACCTATTTGACCGGCAGCCAACGAGTGCTGTACAGTCGAACTGTTGTTCAGTGGCAAGGAATTGATGTTGAATTGTTGGTGCAACTGAGACTGTTGGTGCTGAACTGGTGCGTTTAGAATGGTTGATTCCTAATAAAAATGTAATAAATTTTATCAATATTATAAATTATAGTTCATCATTACTTTTAAAATGCATAAGTAAGGATTCATACCGTTAGTCTCGGTTGCTGTTGCTGTTGCTGCTGATAGAAAGAGTTGAAGGTGGGAACCTGCTGTTCGTGTTGCAACGGCTGTAGAGTGACGAGTAATTTTTGCTGGATCTTGGGCGGCGGCGATTGCGGTGGTGTCAAAGCCGAAGGGCTGTATTGAATTTGGTGGCAAGCCTCGACATCGCCGAGAACAGTCTCAAATTCGCGTAGCAAAGACTGAGTTTCGTCAATTTGCATTAATTGTTGCTGCTGCTGTTGCTGTTGGTGGTGGAATTGATGGTGTTGAATCTGGTGCTGATGGTGTTGCAGTTGCTGCTGCGGCACATGCTGCGGTTGTTCAACAATCAGGTACTGAGGCGCTACTTGCGGTATTATCTGGGGCTGTGGTTTTTGGATGTTGGGGTAAACCACAGCCGATCGATTTGGTACGCATTCCGGTGTTATAATATCGGAGAAAATCGGCAGGTCTATCTTTTTCTCGAGCCAGTCGTTGAGTGATTCTGAAAAATAATTGGAAAGAATTGATATTAAATTTCATAGTTTCATCATTTTGAAAATTTGAATAAAGTTATTTCTTTATTCTGTAATGCTTTATCTCTTGTGTGCTTAAATAATCATTTTGTATTGGTCTCTTTGCGCAGCTGGACTCATGGAAGATCACCAAGTTAACGAGGTCTGTAATTTGTTTAGTGAAAACCTCTGAACGAATGGATTTTACGCACAAAAATGCCACATCATACAGTCAAGTGAATAATATTTTCAACGTTTCAATTTAGAAATCAATGATAGTGAAAAGTAAATCAAGCAATAAAAAGAGTCTATAACCATTACCAACATTAGTGCGAAGTTTGTTAAATTCCAAGGTCTTTTACGTGCATTTAACACAATTATCAAAGTTATAGATTTACGAAAAGTGATTTTTATGACATATTTCGCATCAACTAATAAAACATTCAAGTATCACGTTGTAACTTGGGTATTTGAGTTTCGTTTCAAGCTAATTATCTTATCGGATAATCATAGTCATTGTAAACGGCAATGTGTATTAAATGTAGACTATATCTCCATTTGTGTACTATAAATATCTTTTGTACCTCACGCCGAGCTGTTCCATGAATAACAGCTAAAACGGCTATTCAAATTCCAGTTCGACAAAGGTAATAACAGTAAACCATTATTACCTATTCTTGTAAAGACAAAATCACGCGTCTCAAAAAGAGTAAAAAATATATTGACACTGTCGACCAATTCGTTCGTTCCGAAATGTTTGAAATTAGTTTTTGATTAGACATTGTCAAATTCAACTACATGATGATTTTGTAGATTATAGATTGAGCCAAGACACGGAAAAAATTAGACTGAATGTAAAGCTTTTTATATGAAAAAAAGGTAGTGTCAACTTTACATTTATTAGTTTATATAAAATTAATATGCAGAGACCGCAGATATCGATAAAAGTCGTTCGGTAGTACCAGAACATTTTTCTCAAGCAAAAAGACTGCGTTAACTCTATAGATAACTACGCTAGAAAGGAAAGAGAAAAAAAGAAAAAGTGTCACGTGTTAGCGATCATTGACAATATGGTACTTTTCCGATTAATTACACGTTAACCGACTTTTACATTTTTTTCGTTCAAAGACAAACATCCTAATTGTGCGCGGGGGTTGACTATTCAGAGAAAAATTTTTACACGAAATTTTTCTTTTTCCTATACAAAACTTCAAATAACTTCGTTTTGCGCAACACCTCTGGTACCGATCCTCGTTTTCGTAGGTATTGAATTAAATATTGATCGCGATCGTCTGCGAAAGAAAACGCAAAGCGCGCTTTTGTAGCGTTCTTTTGGCTTCCTTTTACAAGATGGTAATATTATGCTCGTTCGAGGAAAATAAATTTTTTAAAAAATTTTTCTCGCTTTAAACAGAGCTCGCAAACGCTTATTTTAATACATGCAGCTGAAATCCACACCCCGCGCACTGCTTTCGGACAAAAATCCAGTAATAATTAGCAATACACACGACGAAAACTCGTTTCGTATTTTTCGACTACGCTCGCGCGCCAGCCAGCCACGATAGAGAAACCAAAACAAGCATCCCGCGCTGCTTACGTATGTGAATTTACTACGGAACATGAACGATTTATCCGCCTTTACAGGTATACGATGCACGTGTTGCTGTGCTGGTCGATATGTAAAATGAATATTTTTGTTGTTATGACTGGGCTGTAGGCATCTCGTTGAATGGCGTTGCATTGATCAAAGTAAGTATTAACGCGCATAACTTGACAGCCACTATAAGACGGTAGTGTAAAGCTTCAATGCGCGTAGCGAGCATTGTTGTTGACACAAAATGAACTTATAAATTCTTTTCTATTGATACTGATTCGAGCGCTATCAAGCTCTCTTACAATAATTGCGAAACGAGCAGCTTAGGAAATTATAGGCTAACGGCCGTTACGGGCATTCCTCCAAGACTCGTTGCCCGCGAGCGACCGAATGAAAAAACAATATTTATTAATGCCGCAACAGCGCGTGCTCGCTCGCCTTTATGGACTTTGAGCGTTGCGTACATTAGCGCTCGGACGATTTTCGCGCAAATCGCCGCAAACGCAGTCGCACGTGCGTACGCATATTATTGCCTCCACACATGTACACTCGAATTCATTGCTATTGGGCGACTTAACAAACAATAATTGTGAAATTGTATACTTTTCAAGCGCATCAACGTTCGGAATCGCGCGAGCGCTCGGCGTCGATTTTATCAATATAGGCCGCCTAGAGCTTAATTATACATGTGCACGCGCAATATCGCATTTATATTTATACGGATACAAGTGCATACGTACACGAGTTTTTCATAGCACGAGCTCGCATCGTACTTCATTATTGTTCATCGATGATGGCCTTAATTTTCTTCATTCGCGCAACAACAAAGAAAGAAAGAAAAAAATGAAAAGAAATGACCATTTAGAACAAAATGGTGTCATTAATTAAAATATTATCCATTCCAACGTCGACTTTGCAGTTGTACTAGTTTCAACAATCTGAGCTGAGTCACAATAAGCGTATGAAAACAATTGTGAATATTATGGATGTTTCGTAGCGACGAAAATGTGTACTCGGACGATACCTCGCTTATCGCCATTGAACTCAAGGAGGGAGGAGCGACACTGCACTTTTGACACGTTCGATCCTTCAAGTATAAACATGCACAGTAGGCGTACGCGCACACAAGCAGTTTATGTACATGCATAGCGTGCACGCGCACAGCCAAGAGCCTTTAGAGTGCGAGTATCATAGTGTCGACCTTCTTCGAGATGGCATTATCTCAGACTTCTCACTCGACTGTTTTCCTCCACATCAATTCTCGGCACATAATGTACACATGATAGTCAGGGAAAATTCAGAAATTCGATAATAATCGCAGGCAAAAACTTGAAAGTGACGCTTCTCGATTGTCGCCACAAATGTCGGAGCGCAGAGTTTATCGCGAGAACGAATGTATGCAACGTATCTGCTGACTGACAAGTAAAAATGACTAATGTACTTGACTGCGAGAAACAAATGCATAATTGTGTTGGTGCACAACAGAAGGAGGATCGCGAGAGCCGAGAATTAATTGGAAACCGAAAGGTGTGCGTACGTGGCAGCGTAAAACAGCCTCAGGGGGGGCAACGATACGCACGTGGGCGCGTGTCGACGATGATTTTGAATTTTTCGCACACCCGTACAACGTATGGCGAGAGTAACGATAAAAAAATCAATTATCAAGAGCTCCTCAGGGGGTACGAGCGCGTTCAAAGGTGGAAGAGGGAGGAGCGACGGCCGGAGTGCGAACGAGAAGTCGATTTGAACGTTACGCGCCAAGAACAAAGTTTATTGAACCGATAAACGCGCGACTTTTACTTCGAATCGAGGCTTTTTCTGATAAGACAATATGTGTATTTATATGTGCAAGCGTGCACAAGTGCGTGGTAAAATCTAAACTTACACCGCAAAATCTCGCAGTGCTTGTTGCCCCAAATACAGCATGTTCCAAGTGAAAGCGTAATTCAAACTGTTTTTCACACTTTATACCATCAAAATTTGTTTATTTCAGTACAATAATTTTAAAAGTGCCTGACTTACTGATAGGAAAAAGTCAACTTCAAATGTTTAATGAAAAACTATTCGATCCTTCTGTATCATATAGAGATCCGTACCCCAGCATAAAATTTAGAAAACTTGTTTAAAAATTTGAATTTTGGACTGGAGTACGGATCTCTTAATAGTTAAAAAAAACTCAACGTCAATTACTTTGGAAATATTTTAAAATAAAAAATTTTTTAGATTCATTTACACAATCCTATTGTTATTTATATTGTATTCACTGCATTTTCGAAACTTGTTTTATAATTATAAGTGGCCTATTTTTTTATCATTTTGAAAAATCCCGCCCCATTCTTCTCAAAAGATCAAAGGTCAGTATTTTTTTAATTGACTGTTTATGCATGTGAAATCTTTTATATTGAAGCTGGATTGAATTCAAGTTTTAAAGTTGTTAATTTCTCGATGCACAGAATCACCAAGTATCAATCAACCAGCAAAAGAGACTCAAAGTCTTGGTGATCCTCATGGTACTTCAGTTATGTAGATAAATAAATGTTTACTTATATCGGCACAAAGTACTCATTAACTCAAGAAGCTCATTATATGTGCTCATTTATTTCTATATCCTTTCACATTAATCAGCTCAGCGTTTCACCTAAAAGGGATATTGTATTAAAAAACTATCTAAAAAAAAAAAAAAAATAATTTTTCATCACTATACAAATTACTCACTACATTCATTGATACGCTACTACACAATGAAAATATAAAATTATAAGCACTAATGGTCTAAGTAATGGTTACTAGAGAGCTATAGTCGATCGGTTCTAGTATGCATCACTACTACCGACTAGTAAAGTTGACTTTCCGGTTTAATAAACATAAGATTTAGTAGTGTAGTCTAGTGGCGGTGGCCGAAAAATCTAGTAGCAGCTACTACTGTTGTTCGCTGAGTTCACCATAGCGCTCTAGTAGACAATGCTATTTCATATTTTCAGTGCAGTAAAGTAGACATGAAATAATACAAAGCTTACGGAGGGTACGAACGTAAAGGTATTTTCGGTTTTATAGTTTATAATATAAGCTTTGCATAGAATTGCGCGATCAATTTTCTTCGCAACGCTAGCTTATGGGTAGTGTTGTAACGTCGTTAGAGCTGAGGCAAAATTACTTGTTGACATGTGGGTAGATGCGTACTTGACCCGATATTTCCTATTGAATAAATGAAAAATTTTATCTCATTATGCAAAAAAGTCATCAACGACGAAGCTAGCAGCTATTTTCCTCTATTATTTCCACCAAATTTATAGATGCAGGTTCCATCCGATACTAATAGCCAGTAACTAAGAGATTATCTTTCATTGAATTAATTAATTTAATCAACTTCTTATCAATCACATATTATCTCGCACTACTTTCTAAAAATTTTTAGTCATTTTTAGTAATTTTCAATGTCTTTTCAGGAGGTAATTATCTGGCCATTTACTTTCTTTATTTTTGGACGTTGGAGCTGGCAGAAAAGTTTACGCATCAAAACGAAATACCATGTGAAAATCCGACAACCATGTAAACTGAATGCAAGTTCAAATCGACTGGTACTTCACTTCAACACATGTTAAGTATGCTACTGCGAAAAAGTCTAGCGGAATCAGGTATATTTAGCTCACTCGTTAGCTCTGTGTCGCATCGTTTCCAGATTACTTTGGTATCGTCAATTCAATTTGAATCAATCATGGATAATACTATTTAAAAAATTATTTTTGACACGCCAATTGATTCACGTACCCTGGAGATAAAAACTTTGCCCGTTCAAATGCTACATTTTTATTCTAATAAACTTGATTTTTTTTGGACGTTTTTTCAGTTTATATCCGATTGGGATATTGCACTATAAACTTATTTTTCGATATTGTAAACAATTTTGCACTAATAGTTGAAAAATTGAAAGTGTATTTCGATGTAAAATTTCATGGGAAATCGATTGGTGCAATTCATTTTTTCCATATCTGAGAGTGAGATATTAGCAAAAAACTCTTTCACCCTGGATTTTTACCCTGACGTTGTGGTTTTAGGTAAAACCCAACGTCATGTTTGGTTTCAGCGCGCCCAAAAACATAAAACTGGTTTCATTACCCCCTAACAAAATGCAATTCTATTTAAGTTTTCACTAGACTAATTATACAATCATTTAGGAAAGTTCGCACAAAGAGTTTATAAAAACTTTGCTAACATTGGGGAAAATCCAGCAGGTTTAATTTCTTCATAAACATGAATAGTTTATTTAATAACGACATATGTTCAATACATAACGTAAAATATATCAGCAAATACAACGTAAGTTACAACCCATTCCGTGTACCCATTCGGTCAACGAACTTTTCTTTCAATCTCGCGTATGATATCGAATTTAATGCATCTCTCGTATTTATGCATGTGCGTGTATTTGCAGGAGCTAGGCGCATATAATGGAGTCTCGAGTTTTCACCGCAATGCAAACTTTCATGGGGCAAGAAATCCATGCCCACATAACATTTGCTTCGATAAATACTTTCGAATTCTCGAGACTCGGCTGATGAATAAAATTCAACGGAACTCATAAGCGTCGTGCAAAACCTGATTTCACGCGTCTCATATCTAATTATTACAACGTGTATAAAACTTTGCAGTAAACACGTCCGCGTTGAATTCGAGCAGCCACACGCGCAAGTTAGCACGAAGTAGGCGTAGTTGCTAAATCATTGTTGTACGCACTTGAGACTGGATTTTGAGCTTATTTTTTTCTTGTATCCTACCTTAATGATGTGTTAACATAACTATATCGGGAAATGAAAATGCTGAACGCATGTCACGCATTCGTTTTACTGCCAGCGAGGTTCGACTCGAGCGACTTTAAGAATTTAAAACGAAAGTACAGTCGAGCCCTCTTATGTACACCGAGTAAGTAATTTGTCTTTGAAAGGCGCTGCTGACTACTCAATGCTCAGCGAGATAACGCGCCTTTTAGATAAATAGCCTTTCATAGATTAGAGGACAAAGGTATAATCACATGACTCGAGACCAGGATGACGTAAATTTAAAAATCCGTTTTCTATATAATAAATCTAGTGCTTGGTTGGAAGCGCTTAGGTTATTATCATCCCTATATTAGTTGTTTGGTTCAAATCTATTAAAAATAGACGAGATGTATTGAATATATTTCAATCGATCGATTAGCAAGGCTTTTCATGTAATGATTTCATGTTTTTTTTTGCAAAAGTTGTCGAGGAGACCATTGGAATTGCAAATGCTCGCGAAGTTTAATTGATACATCTGTTTGTCTTGGAATTTGCACTTCAATTGAAGAACGAAAATTATCCTTATTATGTTTGAATGCGATACATTGTTTTTGATTATTCAGGCACATACTCGGTTACAACTCCTTCATTTGAAAACATTTTAAAACCAGCCGTATATATCGCCTATATCAGACGGTGATTGCGGAAAGAAAACGCATTGCACAGACGTGTCTGTGAGACACACCTCTTGGCATGCCCTCGTCTCTATTATTATTAAATGCATATTTTCAAAACTCGAGAAATTTAAAAGAATTAAAAATGAGTATTATCATTCACGGAACTATTACGTGTTTAGATTAGAGCTTGGCGAAAAATTTTTCGTGAAAAATGACATTCGCGACGCGATCTCGCGCGAGCGCCAGACCAGTGCGACGCGAGCCGTCGAATTTAGCGATAAGTAAGCGTAGTTTTTCGTTACTCCGCAATGAAACGTCACTCATCGTCGCCATCGTCGTTATCTTGAATACTACTTTCATCGAAAGATTTATCCGTCGTCCGATCGAAGAAAAATCGTTTTAAATCGTTTTCAATCTTCACCTTCGAGATATCCCGAGAGATGAATTGTCTTTTAATCCACAAGACGTGTTCGTGAGTAATAATTTTGTTATCTATTCATTTCTGAAAGCAATCAAGTTTTCATAATATTCTAAATGTCACACAAATGTACGTGAAAAATGGTAACCCACATTGCCAAGAGGTTAATTTTGAAATCGTGAAATTCCACGCAGTCATCGTATCATTGAACATTTTTACTGCTCTTTCGAGGACTTTTTCAACGTATTTCACTCTCCTTAAGGAGATGGCAAAGCCAGCTCAAAAATAAATTTTCAACGACGTTTTCTGAAATCTTTACCGTATATTAGTAGAATTGGTAAAAAGGGTCTTTGGAAACTTCAAATACAGTAAAATATAGGTCGTCAGTGAGCCTTTTAGAGAAACGTTGAATATAAGTTCGAGAAAACAAGATGGTAAATTGTATTTTTGGGCTGGCTTCGTGGTTCCTTCAAGATAATGCTAAACTCAGCCCTCCATATGCTCATTACCGAGCGATACTTTGAGCGATAGCGTGGATTTTTCGCGAAATTACTCAATCACAAACGAATTGGTTAATTGACGTTAGCACGCTCATCAAGAAATAAATCGAGTAGACAATTAAATTTAACGATCAGCAGTGTAACAATGAGTCGATAAAAAGTGTCTCTAGACATATGTACGTAAATGATATGGGCAATATTAAGAGTTCGTACCATTAAAACACATAGCTGCCATAATTCTGCTCCTTTGGATGAGTGCGCGCGACTCGTGTGCTACGGCACGCGACGACCAGTGGAATTCTTTGGATGGTGGAAGAGAGATGCACCGCAAGGAAGAGGATGACAAGACGATAATCGGGTACGAGGTAGTCAGAAGTTAGGCCCTCGTTAACATCAGAGCCAAATGGATAGAGTGGGAGCCAGCCGTGAATTAGCTTATTTCGAGGGTTCAACGTTGACGCGTTAGGGTATCTCTTATTGCTGCTCGTACGGGCAGGAGAGGATGGTAAAAAGGATGGATGTTCGGTCAGCGTCGGGGGCGGCGGCTCTGGCGGATTCTCGACTTTCAGCGTCTCTTTACGAGCTTCTGCGAGTTCACGATGATCTCTTTGTTCCACGTGTAACGATATGCGAACTGCATGCTATTATACAACATTAGCACACTCCAGCATGGAGATGCTTGCTCAAGACTTGTTGATCGGTTGAAAAAATCGCGGCCAATTTGCGCTGCTGCCGCTACTGGTCGCTCTCTGGCAGCTACTCGGGATCGAGCTAGCAAAGCTGCAGCACTCAACAGAAGCAAGAGCGGCCAAGTCGTAGGGCGCTCCGGGACGTTGGCTGCCAGTATCACGGTTATGAGGCGAATGGCAAACAGAGTCCGGCTTCGCGATCGGCGGATCGGCAAGCCTTTGTCGGGCAGCCGCGCGGCACTCAACTCGACGATCGCTTTTCGCACTGACACACGAACGCGCACGCACGCACCCACTGATACGAGACTCGCGCGCACAGAGTCAACAACTACGCAGTTATGCCTTGGCGACTCGACGAGCAAAGTCGACGAGCAAACACCATGCACCAAGTCAACGACACTCGGCACTTATCGCACTAATGGCACGCGGCAATGACTCCTATGAATTTTACTCGCTTCTCGTCACGTAGACACCACTGAAACTGCCAGGTAATGCGTCGATGTAGAAGCAGAAAAAATAGGCTCGTTATATCGACGCGTGCGCGTATAACCACTAACCAAGACTCGATTCGAGAGACTGTACGAGTCCGATCGCTCCGATTCCGACGACGTGCGGACTTGTCTCGGCTGCACTGCCACCTCCCCACTTTTCCCTCGACTTGCCTCGCTATCCCAGCAATGTGTCGTATACGCGTTTATGTGTGTGTGTGCTTACATGTAGATATATTTTTATTTTATACGCGTTCGTTTGCGCGAGCTTATCTTTCGGAGACTTTCCCTCCTACTCCCGAAGGTTTGAGAACTGCTGTTCATATTATACTCTGCCACTTGGTTCGCAGATACACAGAGGTTAATCAGTTTGTCCCACTCGTGTCGGCCGCTTCTTTTTTCCTTTTATTCGCGTATTATGACGTTTATTTTTATTTGGCCACAACTCCGATATCTGCATGTTACATAGCTGCGTACGCGCTGCGGGACGATCGCGCGGGCCACACCACCGGCCACGGACACTCCAGGCTCCAGCCCTGGAGGTGCGTGTGCGCGCGCCTGCCTCCGCGACTTTGTTTATTTTTGCCCGGGATACTCGTTTCAAAGCTTTTTTGTCACTTTTCGCTGGTATACTGGCCGGAGTTATCTGCACTGCACACTGCGACGAAAGAAAAACGAGTTTCTCGGATTTTCGGAGGCCATCGCGTTTCGCGCACCGAGCGCGAGAACCTGTTTTTGCCTGCAGAGTTGCTGTCTCGCTGGCGCTTCGTTACACCATTATTTTTGACGATCGAGTCGCGCTTTCGAAATATTATTCGTGTTTTTGTTTTTTCCCGATCGGCGTCGTGACACGCTTTCCGTACCAGCATCTTTTTCGTAACTGTTATGGGAAAGCATACGACTAAAATCATGTAGCAGATCAACCGATTGCACGGACAATTATCTTTCACCTTGTGCACGACTTTTTCTTTAAAGGATAATTCATGCTTGTTCGAATTTTCACTACAACTCAACGAATGCAGTTCGGCCCGAGCATACATATAGATATACAAGTCGTGCTTACGTAATTGCTTTTCATTTAGTAGTAACAAAGAATTCTGCACCTCGGCGCTCCCATATGGTAAAAGAGCGCGGAAATCGGTTCGATAGATTTTATCGTTATTATTTTTCAACTGTAATGTAATATATATCCCCATTTACGCGACTGTACAATTATCGTATGCACATATAATCCTAGCGATAACGCAAGTCTCCATCTGTAGCTATGCAGATGATTCTATTCTACAACGTCAACATTTTTAAACTTTATCGAGGCTATCTGTGATCCAAATATGTCTAAGTGTGTGAAGTTTACATGTATATAAAATTATAGTTACTTACCTTGTTTTATTGAGCGTAATTGTTTTTATGTAACTATTACAGCTACTTGTTCAAGTATCGATAATGCGCCGAGTGCATTTATAAAATAAGACATTGTTTGTATATAGATAGAATTTTTTAAAAACCTGAACTCTCAATGACAAATAAAAAAAAAGCTTAGACTGAATCAATTCAAGCTTTTTGTGCCGCAAAGTGTGTCAAATGCATAATAAAAAGATATCTATGTGATGCCTAGAACGGTGCTGGTAGTTATGAACGAGTCCCAGCTATTAGTTTTCAATAAGCTAAGAGTGTAATAAATAAAAACAGAGAATATGATTGCTTAGTATAGTACTAGTATGTACATTGCAATATGTTGAATAGTTTTAATAAATAATTCAGCAAGGTAAACTACCATTTTATATGTGAAAACATCTAATACTCAAGGCTAACCAATAGAACAGCTTTTGCCTTAATTACTTTTGTCAAGTGTTAAAACAAGATCTAAAGATTTATGAAGCATGGTACACATTTAGGACTTGAGAAAATAAATCCCCCTATGTACTACTAACAATTTGAAAATGTTTAATATTTTTCAAAGAATCATTTTGACGTTGAAAGACTCAATACGCTATCAAAAATTTGAATTTTTGCTTAGTTCCTTTGTAGTCAATTTGATAGTTTAAAATAAAATTTTATGTGCTTTTATATAGAAAAATAAAAGTTTTCCAATTTTTACAATTAAAGTAGGACTTCGCAAAAACAAAAAAAATAAAAAATTGCTTATTTACCTTCTTCTTTTATCCATTCTGCTGAATCTAACTCTTCTAACCATTTTGAAGCGATCTGTGCACGAGTAAGGGGTGAATTGCAGCACACGGCATCTTCATAAAACCCTTCTAATTCTAATGGTTTCTCATCAGAGTAAAACCATTCGGCTGTTAAATCTAGTGGTGCTGTCCCACTAGGGGACAGTGGTTCTTCCTTCCACATCATCATTTCTTCCTGACTCGATATCATTGATGATGTTGACGACATTGTTGATATTGATGTTTATCCGATCGACGTTTTGTAAAAAGTTTTGGATATTTGTGGTAGATGTCGGCAGAGCGACTGAATTGGTAGTTGGTAACGCCATGGTGGCACTAAAAATATTATTGAAAATATACTTTAATCGAGAGCCAAAATTTTACACAATAATTAGTTTCTACTTATTTTTGTAAAAATTTATAAAAAAAAGCATAAATTACAAAGAATATAAATACACAATAATAAGAAAAAAGCATAGTAAATATTAAAATATTGGCTTGAGAGAAAATAAATAAAAATATTTCTATCTTCATGAGTATCACTGAAGAAATGTTTGTTCAATTATCAATAGAAAAATGATGTGATTCTTGGAAATACTCAATTATCATCGCTTGATTTAGCAACAAGTTGAGCAACGTCAACAAAAATACGCAAAACCACGATGTCAGTGCTCTTTCAGATTTGTTTGCTGAATAAATCGGCAGTACAAATGCACAAAAATAATTTTAAAAATGAAGAAAGAGTTTTGTGGTGACGTCACACTCGAAAATAATCAAATTCTACCGACTAGAATTTTAAATAATCATTAAAATATGCCAAATCATGAAATTATTTATGATGACGCAATAATGATCGCTTCATACACCAACAAATATTTTTATGAAAAAACAATGAAAATTAATTGATAGTGGAAGAGACCAAATCATATGGTTGGTTGGTTGATCGTATCAAGTCATTAAGCAGTCATGCTCGCGTGCGTGAACCAAAAAACCGTATGTTACACGAGTTGAAACGTCATATCAATCAGTGAGTCATAGAGTAAAATGGCCGACGCGCACACTCGTAGTGCTGCGTAAAGCGCGCAGACAAGCTTCTACTACAACCGCACTTTGATCGGAAAATGGTTAATTTATCAAGTACAATAAAATTTAAAAAACTCACGTCATTTTGGGCTGTTGTTGGGGCTCACACTTGCGTGCGGCAAGCTAGTTTTGCAAAAAAACTAGTCCATCATCTTGATAGAGATTGCTGCGGAGCAGATGTAAGTAAAAACGATGTTGACTGTATGAAATCCATGGAGAGAAAGCGCCTGTGTAACGAAAAACGTGCTAGCACGAGCTCGGAACTCGGGCATCGTGTCGGGGGTACACAATACACATGCGCACCGCCGTCTTTGTCCGCCGTTTCGTTTCGTTCCTTTGCAACTCAAGTTGTGCCATTGCATTTGGCAATTGGTGGCTGCTGACTGATCACGTGGTCCTACGCGTGAAACGCCGCTACTTTAAATTACGGACATGTATGCGAGGTCGTGAGAGACAGGTAAATATAAACATTCGTTGCTCGAGTCTCGGCCCTCGAAGCCTCGAGGGGTGAACGACCTGCGAGTCATGTACGTTGATCAATTTTTCCGTGCACTCTTCGCGTTTGCAATCACGCAGCTCGACTATTACTGCAGCTGTAATCAGCTATAGTAATCCAAGTTCTTTGTACTTCATTAAGACTTGTAAATCTATTGAGAACCTTATTACGCAAAGATAATGGAATAAACAAGAATCAATGTATATGATAGATTAATTGTCTCCAAGGAAAGAATTATGCACACTTTTCTATAATGGATGTTCACGACGCGTGTGCTTGGGAGTTGGGACACTCACATATGCAAAGGATGATGTTATAGCCATTCAAAAACATAAAAGTTACGCTCGCTCGGGCAGACGGAAGGACGCTCGGTTTTTACGGGTTTCCCCCTGATACCAAACGCAAATATAGATGTTTCCCATCAATAATTATAAACTAATTACTGTATGTACTGCAATAAACTTTTCATTATATTTATGCGCTGTGATTGCTCATAAGGAAGTCATGGTTCTTAATTATTGCATACTCATTGTTTTGAGTAACATCTTTGCAAATGACTTCATAAATTTGAAATTTTTATGGCGTAAAGTATAACCTAAAAAAATTAAAATTAATTCAAAAATTAGTTCTTCTATGTAATGTATAAATAGTATATTTCTCAACGGGTGCACGTATGGTTTTTTAGCAAAACGAGGGATTATAGCACGAGCCGAAGGCGAGTGCTATAACGAGTTTTGTTAAAAAACCATATCTGCACCAGTTTGAGATACTATTTTTTCCTACGAGAGCCTAAAATTAGCGGCAAAGTTGCGTATTTTAGGTTAGAGTGGGGAAAAAACGCTTTTACAAACATTATTAGAAGAAATAACAATATCTATAGACGGAGTTCTGAAAGTTTGAATTTCGCGCTCGCACGTGATTGCCATGACGCCAACTCTGGCGACTGGCGGCGACGCAGAAGCATCTGACGCCATTTTGTATTCGCTAGTTCGTGTACTGTGTAACTGACGTGAAATAATAGTCTCGACTCTCGAGTCTCGACGCGACACTCGCGACATAGACTCGCCAAAAGTATCGTCTTGAGGACTTATCTGCGTGTTCCATAGCAGATTAAGATACGAAGAGGCATTCTTTGCTTCAAGTTCAAAATACAACAATACCAGTGTTCCGTAAATAGACATCTCTATCCATCGTCATCACGACGCTTGACCATATTATTTTCGTTTAACCTTATGTATTAAGTAAAATCGAGTGTTCAATATATCTTCGAATCATATGTTTTATAATCATCGAGTAGGTCGAGTGTAGTCTTCATTGCAGGTATATATATTCGTATATATAAATAGTAAGATTTTCATCGATAAGAATGTCAGAAAGCGAAGCTAGCACAACGTCACAGCAAAAGCAGTACCAGCAACAACAGCAAGCCTGGCAACAATACTCGCAATTGTATGGTTCTTATGGGTAAGACTCCATTTTCTACTTACATGTTGCCTCTCTCTAGCTTTTGATAAACACCATAGGCTTTAAACTTTAAACAAATTTTCAATTATGTCATTCACCTTGTACTAAAGTTCTTTTTTTTAAAGAAAATACGTTCTGCATTGATTTTTTTCGTTCGCCTTCAAATTAGCAACCTTTTTTCATACCTTGGCTGAATGTAGGCCATTACACATACATATACACGTATAGGGTAATACATGTATGCTAATATATATTATAATGTGCAATCATACACCATTACTGCTAAACTGTGACTTTTTTGTTATATGAAGAAAGAGAAAAAAAAATAACAAAATCATAATAATAATAATAATAATATTTTTAAAGATTGCTCACATATGAAAGTATACAAATAATTTTTTACCTATGATAAAAACTAGGCTAATCTCAAAATCCCTTGAAATGAATCTGTTTTAAAATACTAAAAAACGACAAGTATTTTATATTTCACCCAAATTTTAAATATCTTTTAAAATCCTCCCTAATTATGAAAAAATTATTAGTATTATTTAGCAAACTCAATTTAAAAACTTCTTAATAAATCTAACTTTTATTGTTAGTATTAAATTGGGAATTAGCCTTTGATCAAAGACATTGTAATAATATTATATTAAGGTGATGCCTTGGCCACAATTTTTACCGACCGAGCACAGAAAATGTATATTTTCGTAACTTTTTTTCCAAGCTGATTTTCGAAAAACGGCTCTGTGGAGCCCTCCGTATTGATGCTGTGAACAGCTGCACCAAATTTCGACCAATTTCATCGAGTAGTTTTCCCGGAAAACAGGATCAAAATTTTTTATCCTGCAAACAGTAATCAAAAATTTCGATCCTGTTTTCCGGGAAAACTACTCGATGAAATTGGCTGAAATTTGGTGCAGCTGTTCACAGCATCAATACGGAGGGCTCCACAGAGCCGTTTTTCGAAAATCAGCTTGGAAAAAAAGTTACGAAAATATACATTTTCTGTGCTCGGTCGGTAAAAATTGTGGCCAAGGCATCACCTTAATCATCTTTATACCCATGTATTTTCTGCTTTCAGTTTATCTATCATTAAGTTATTAACCTATTTTTTATTTAAAGTCAAAATATAGCACATGTTTCGAAGAAAAAGAAAATTATTTTGCATTGTTGAAATTTCGATTGTTTTTAGAATTTCTATACACATTAGTGATATTTTTATTCGTTTTAAATGTGAAGTTAAAGTACCTAACTTAGTTTTTTATTTGACATACAATTAAAATTTTTAATTAGCATCAATTTTTTTATATTTTTATTCATACAAGAAAAAACTGAAATATAGCATTTAGATATCTACTTATTAAATATGTTACTTATTAAATATTTTAATTAATCTTATCCCCTTTTTTTACAGCCAATTATATCAAGCAGCTACCACATTTGATTATGGCCATCAAAGTCAATCATATTATCCACAATACAATACAATGAGTTATGGAAACTACAATCAAATGCAGCAAAATACTCAACAATTACTTCAGCAACAGCAGCAAGCTCAACAATCCCAAGAATCACAAAACCAGCTACAGCAAGATAAAAAAGGAAAGCAACAAACAGATCAATCATCAAGCACACCAAAACCAATGACATTCAATGATGATTCTGAATTACCTCCTCTACCCCCTGGTCCTCCACCACCACCTAAAAATCAAACATCCTCACAAACTCCTGCTTCTCAAAATTCACAGCAACAATCACTAAGTACTCAACAACCATATCCATATCATTCATATCCTTATAATAATTGGAATGGTCTACAAGAATCTGATTCTAATACAGGTTAGTATTTTTACAAAATTAAATTTCTGTACCACCCCAGCTTAAACTAATCTTTTTTTGCCCTATGGCCAAAACAAAAAAATTAATTTATGATGGGGGATTCATGATAAATAGTACATTGATCTATGAAGTGAAGAAAGGAAACCTCACAGCACATGTTTTGTCTTGGCTCTGCGTATAATTCCATGTGCTCTGACGCTTTCCAGTTTTTCACTTTCTAGGCCCATAATTGACTATTTTTTTTACTAAAAAAAAAATTTGTGAGTATAAATTTAAATTAAATTTCAGGTTATACTGGCATCCGTTTTAATTTGACCAACAAGAAAGCTGGTTTAGGGTATCACCAACAACAACAACAACAACAGCAACAGCAACAGCAACAGCAGCAGCAACAACAACAACAACAACAACAACAAATACAACAGCAGCAGCAGAACGTATTAAACAACTTATCAAAAAAGAAGCGTAAGCGCAACAAAAATCAGGAAGTTGATCAGTACATGTTTCAAGGAACATTGCCGAACACATCTATTCCACCACCTAACATGTTTACATCTGCAACTAAGCAACATGAGTTACCACCATTACCACCACCCTTACCCAAAGAAAAGCCACCATCTCCACCTCCCCCAGTGGATGATGTAAATCTTCCATCCCAGCCACCACCATTGCCAAAAGGGCCACCCCCAAAAGCAGCTCAATCGCTACCACCTTTGCCAATGGATACATCAGTACCACCTCCTAATTTTAGAAAGCCCCCACCATCTCTAGGCTCAAACCCAACAAAAATGGGTCAAACCCCTAATCCTGCGGCTGATTGGCCTGATAGTTTAAAAAATTACGTTAACCGATGTTATGAAAAATGTGTCACGCCTGTTGACAAAGATCAAGTGGAAATCATTCTGAAAGGCAAAATAACACGTTCAGCTAATGATGGATCTCTTTGGGTGAAAGATTGGGATAAAGAACCACTACCCAGCATTCATAGTGAGCGAATGACTATGACGATAAAACCTATGCATTCTGCACAGCTTGGAGCTGGTAGAGGAATTGGAAAATCTCCAAATATATCTCAGCTTATGAACTCGAGATTAGGTAACAATCGATCTTCAATTGGTCTACCCAAAACACCATTATCAAGTGTCAACAGTAATAACCCTTCTGTTCATAACCGTCGGTCGAAGTCGAAGAGTCACTCCCGTTCTCGGTCGCCTTCCCCAGCGCCCCGTAAGTACAGGCGTAGTACCTCATCTTCATCCGGTAGTGAACGTGATTACAAATCGCCAGTGTCGCATAAAACCAAAAATAAAAATAAAATAGCCTCAGTACTGGTTCAGAATCAGAACCAAAACATCAATGCCCAGTTGATGCAGCAACAGAGCAAGGGTAAAAAAAATAAAAACAAAAATAAAATGAACAAAAACATGGGTAACTGTCATTTCTACTCGGAGCATGGCCTTCAAGGAGGACAAATTGATGAGTATGGGACAAAAGAAAAACTACAACAAAGAGCTGCAAGGTTTAATAAAGGTAATAACAATCAGCAGCAACAACAACAAAATCAAAGACAACAGCAGAGGAATAAGCAGCAACAAAATCAGTATCAGTCCCCTCAACAGCGCCTTGCTGCTTTAACCGCTAGTAATACTCTGTTTAGAGATGATCCCACGGCCGAATTTGACTTTACAGAGCTACATATCGTAGGTACTTGCCGAGATCTCGAGAAGCCATATCTTCGTCTTACTTCGGTGAGTTTTTTTATTTATTAATAATCTATGTATCTATTATACCTTTGTTCAGCTCAAGTTAAATATTCTTCTCATTCGTATACTAATTCACGTTTATATTATTACAGGCTCCCGAGGCATCGGCAGTGCGTCCTGTTAGCATACTGCAAAAATCATTGATTCATGTTAAAAAACGTTGGGTTCTACAGCAGGATTATCGTTATGCATGCGACCAATTGAAGTCGATTCGTCAAGACTTAACAGTACAAGGAATAAGAGATTCATTTACTGTTAATGTGTACGAAACTCACGCGCGCGTCGCTCTCGAACGTGGCGATCACGAAGAGTTTAATCAATGTCAAACACAATTAAAAATGTTGTACTCGGAAATCGGGGGCGAAAATCGCTGCGAGTTTGTCGCCTATAGAATACTCTATTACATATTTACCAAGAATACATTAGGTAAGAATATAAACTTTATTTTCATCAAGATTGTTGAAACTAGTTTGTACTATACTAATTTTTTACATTTTTTAATCCAGATTTAACGACAATACTCGCAGCTCTTTCGGAGAAAGACAAAACAGACGAATGCATTAGTCACGCGTTAAAAGTTAGATCAGCTTGGTGGTTGTGCAATTACCATACTTTCTTTAAGTTATACAAAAATTCGCCTAGAATGGCGGGATTCCTCATGGACTGGTTTATTGCCAGAGAGAGGAAACTTGCTCTTAAACAAATGATCAAAGGGTATGTATTTATTTTGCTTTCAAAATTTGTCTTTTTTATTCTTGTTATGATTTAAATTATCATTTTTATGATTTCCCCCGAAAAAAATTCCGAGGGTACTTTTAACTAGCAGCCAAAACGATAAATCCGTTTACCAGGGCTTTTTCTTCCGATGCCTAGGCCATTATGCTATTTTCTATATCCTGTTGCCCGAGCCCAAAATAGTGGGAGGTCAAAAAAGAGAATATCTCAGATCACATGTTAATCACATATTAATGATAATTTATATATGATCTGAAACCTTCTTTTTTTACCTTTCTTGTGCCATATACTATTTTTTTTAGTCTCTTGGGGCTGGGTATGTAACTTTTGATTGAGGTATCAAGAAAAATAACATACCTCCGTTTAGTGAAGCGTTTGAGATATGCTACTTGGGGGCCGCTGGTATCTTGTTCTATTTAAATGTTATTACATTTCAAAGTTACATGCAATTTTTCTAGTGTAGTCTTTTATTACTACATCAATTTATAGTGCTTTTTTTATTAGCTGCTTAAAAAGATTGTGGGGACTATCCCTTCTAAAAAAAAATTTCAGTTTCGTACTTTATGTTTTACTATAAATATTATTGAATTATTTTGGAAGAAATAATATTGAAAGTATAGCATTTTTAGAAAACTAACCCATAGATCACTAAGTATATTTTTTTCAATAAGTAATTTATAAATATGACTTTCAATATTTTTTATTTCCCAATTAATTTTTATATTTAAGCTTTTAACAAAAAATATAAAATGTTATGATACATGTAAGTATTAAATTTCCATTATCAATGAAACATAAATTGAGAAGTAACCAATGAAAAGAAGCAAATGTGAAAGGTGATTTATGTGGACGACATGGTAAGGTCTCATAGGACACAATAGGTTTTGAAATTTCTGTTTCAGGTTTTCAACGCACAACCACGACTAAAAATATTTAAAAAATATATTTTATTGAAAACGAAAAATTATGAAAAACATAAAAATAATAACATAACAATCATCTGTTGTTTATAGTTTGACATTGACTAATATTGTGTTTTCTTCTATTGTTTAGCTATCGACAAAATTTGGCGGTTGATTTCATCGTGGCGGAATTGGCCTTTGAATCATTGGAGAAGTTTTATGAATTTGTCGCTGAGTTCGAATTGGTCTTCACTGATTCAGAACGTAAGCAACTCGACTGCAAGACGAGCAGTTCTTCTATAGGTGCTTGGTAGAGACTTTCAATTATCTCGAAAAACAGCAAATAGCCCTGGTTTTAATTAACCACAATTCAAATGAAATCTGATTGTGCATATATTGAATTTTTCAATTTTTATGCTTCCAAATCGCTTTACGGAATCGTCAAATTTCATCTGACGTTTTCAAAGCAGTTGAAAAGTATTCTCAACTAATATTATCAGCTCATTCTTTGATATCGAGAAAATGATTCTAAAAAAGTGGTCCATTCGTTCTTATCATCGGATCTTACATGTTCTAGAATAATGTAAAATGAAGTTTTCATGCTTAAAAAACTTTAATAACGAGACAAGAATTTACTGCGCGTGACTAGTATGACAACAACGATTCCAGTTTATATTAGATGATATAATAATCGATATCAGTTTTTTCGAAAATTATTCTCAAAGTGTCAACGATCATACTTTACCTTCAAGATATTTGTGATAGGTACTTGGTTAGAGGATCGGATATTTGGAATGGTACAAATAGCGGCTCATCATTACCTATTTGAAACAATTGAACTGAAAAATCGTACACTTTTGAAGGGCTTAGTTGATTTGTTCTATTCCAAATATGGCGTTCACTCTGTATTTGAATGATAGCACTATATGTGTAAACATCATTATACAAAATCGTCAATTCTCTTGTAGACCAAAACGTCAAGGGATGTGTCGAAAAGATTTCTGGAAAAGTTCTTCATTTCCAAACTTATCATGATAGGCTGGCTGATGGCTCACTATCGGATTTTTATTTTTATGAGTCCTGCATTTCTTCATAGCAGTGCTTGATCTTGTTTATTTACTATTTTTGTACAGACCTAAATTGTTATCATTGATTATTAATACTATAAAAATGATTTTGCCTTTAGCTACATGTAAATATATTATAACATAAGGCATTGTAAGATATAAATGGTGTAAATATATCATGAATTTTTGCATTACGAGTGACACTTCTTCGCTCATTCGTTAGTTGCGTATGATGATTTGTACAGTTTCTTCGCAGTTAGATAAATTTCAATATTTTATTTTTTCAATCAGTATGCTCTTCCTGTCATTCTTTAAGTTATTTCCCCTTACATACCATTGGAATTCATCGCTTTAAAAGTAACTTCTCAAATATTTCGTATTAATTTCTTCAATATCATTTATTCCAAAGCATTTCTATTATTTGTGAAAATTCGCTACAAGGATAATATTTAAGTCACGAAAATAATACACTTCAAAAATAAAAAATTTCATTGGGTCAACAAAGAAACACCAAAATTCAGAGTTGATTCCACTCTAGAACTTATAGTAATAATAAAATATACAAAAAAGAATCATCGCTCAGTTCAGCATACACTTACCTGGGATCATAATTTTAGAAAATGATAGCCATTTGAGAATAAATTTGGAGCAAATGGCAGGGCTTGCAAAATGTTTCTCTCGTTGAAACTGACAGAAACAAAAAACAAGTACGTATGTTTTGGCACCTAAAAAAAATACACACGCTAGGGACTGCTCAGTCGGAGGAGAAATTTCATCTGTTCATCAGAAGCGCCAGGGATACAAGATTGAAGAAGAAGACTATTATCACATGTAATAAGAAAACATCACCAATAGCCGCATTTGAATTCAAGCATCCGTCTAGATTTTAACAAGTATATACGGCTCAAAATTATGTTTAATTATATTATGTTCATTCATCATTTTTTTGTTGAGTGCGCGACTTATTCATATATAAATATTTATAAACATATATAAAACTAGTAAATCATGAGGGATATTTATCGTGGGTATATATTAGGTGTACATAAATTAATGTTGGTTTTTATTTGGGTCTTATTGAAACGGGTTCAGACGATTTTCAATTTACATCATGAACCACAGGATGTAATTGTGTGTACAATATATATTATTAAATTTAACTGCAAGAAGGATCAGCGTGCATCATCTAATATATGAAGTATAAAATAATAAAAGAGTAGTTATTTTTTCAAATTGCAGTTGTTATTTTTTACTTTTGGTTTTTACTCTGCCTTTTTACATTTTTATCCTTTTTCCATGCTAATTTATACTGCCGGTGTAATATTTATATAATTTTTGTATATAATGTAACTTAATTCGTCCTTTAATTACATAATCACCTAATTATAATACAGTATCAAGTGTTATACATGTATAATCGCCATATCACGATAAGTTCATATACATCGATTTTTTTGATTATTAAAATATTGATAAAATAAATGAAAAAAATCTTAAGTGTTTTGAAAGATACAAAACGTGGTGATTATATTTCATCTTTCGATATTTATTCTTTTTTTTTATTGTTATTTTTTAAAGACTTTGAAAACATAATAATTTATATAATAATGATGAATATTTCTATAAGTAATTACGATAACAATAATAGTAATTTTAATAAATAATAATAATAATTCTTTTAATCAAACTCTAGTTACATATATTAATAAATAATTTTTTACTCTCACTATCTCGGATCGATTTATGAATTTATAATAATGGAAATGATTAATGAACGCGATTGTTATGTTTACTTTAATTCTTGTGTTTTTCGAGCACTTTCGTGGCGATTTGTATATTAAATAATTAAATTATTGTTGGTCGACATAGAATTCATATTATCGATTCTTCTTTACACGGAGAGCGAAACAAAACTGTTATACTGAGTTATGTTGCGTTTGAGTATGTCGGCACATGGACCAAGCACGCGCTCGAAGCGCGCGCGATCCAGTTTGACACATTTGAGTGGGCCTCGTGCTACCACGGTAGCTGCTCTCGGCCTGTCCAGTAAGAGTGCTATTTCACCTGGAAACATGGGTTTGTATGAAAAATCTTTCGATTTCGTATTCACGTTCGTTGGCAAATAAAATTTGAAGAAAAAAAAGTCAAGAACAAGGTAGGTATTTACCAAAGTAATCCGAAGGCCCAAGTCGTCCGACCTCTGCGGGCTCTTCGAGTTCTGTGCGTTGTTGCAAGACAACTGCTGTGCCTTCGACAATAATGTAAAAATCTTCTCCGGGCTCTCCCTGGCGCACTATCGTCTCAGAGTCTTCGAATGCGACTGGCTCGAGCGCGTCGGCTACCGTTAGTCTTTCCCATTTTTCAAGCGATTCTGTTCAAGGGAAAAAAGTATTAAAGTCTTCGTTACAATATCAACAAATGAGAAATAAAGCTCAGCTCACCGAGAATAGACACTCTGGATAAAAATTCTTCGTACATCTTGCGCTTTCTAATGGTCGAACCCATAAGAATACGTCGATACGAGTCACGGTCGATGCCCCAGAGCTTCACATCAGTTTTAGCCCTGACGGTAGCTGCTCTCGGAGTCCCGTAGATTAAAGCTAACTCCCCAAAGCTGCCACCCTCGCCAATCGTTGTCACGAGCTCACCGTTTACGAAAATTTCCACTTCTCCTTGATCTATCACGTAGAAATTGTCACCTTCATCGCCTGTAAAATAATAAAGAAAAAAGTTAATGGGAATTGATTTTGCTTTCGTGAAATTGACGCGGACTAAAAAAACGCGTGAGTGATGCGAATGCTGAAGAAGCAGTACTAAACTATTACGAATCCGCCAGTTGAGGTGTGAAGCTTTAATTCTGTGAACGACGTCATGGCGGACCTTTAACGGTTGATTTGCTCGAGAAAGGGAAGAACAGATGACACGATACTACGTGTACGTAATTTATAGATTATCAGAAAATTCGATGCATTTACGCGAGTATATATGCATTAATGACTCGCAACAAATACTACGTAGCATAGACATGCTCGCTTCTGCATAGCTGAATTAACTTTTATTTTTTTTTTATTGAAATGTAGTGCTTTAAATCGATTATTAAAATTTTTCACAAGACAGATGAATTACACGCATATGCTTCGCAATGTATACGCTTCGCGAGTATTTGTGAAAAAGCAAAAAAAATATTTTATGAAAATCATACATTATATCTAAACTCAGATATTTTTCTCATTTTATACCGGAATATCGATTGAAATTCTGTAGACTGCTATCATTTAATTTGTAACTCGAATATGAATAAAACCAATGCATCGTTTTTCCAGATTCATCTGGCTTATTTTTGATAATTTCCATTGAATAATAAACAGAATCTCATGAATAAATCAAAGTTTATGTATTCGAAATAATACCTTTTTACTTGCTTTTATATTTTGCTAAATTAGACGAAGAAAGATAAGGATGATAATACATTACTTCAGATGCTCGTTTGGGTTCTTTATATAAACTGGATCGTACAAAAATGTGGCAAAATTATTAAATAAATTTTTCGAAAAGATACTTTGCATAGGCGAAAAATAATTTTGGAAGTTATGCCTTTCACCGTATATCTATGATAAACCAGAAAAAATTCGATTCTGGTACTTTATCTGAGATGGTAGAAAACATTTTCTGTGGCTTCAAGTCAATTATTTTGCAAGTATATCATAAATCTTAGCATATAATATACATTTAACTATTCTTAACTGCAATAATAAATTTTGACAATTCTAATAATGAATTATTGGCCAAGTTTCAAAAGATTACGTATATATAGCAACGCACGAATTATAATTTTGACATTCCACCTATAAATAGCCTGCAGTAAACGCAGGCGTAAGTAGTCGTTAGATTTTATTCATGAGAAATAAGCAGTACAAGACTCGTATAATAGAGACAGTTCAATAGCCGGTGATCGTTTTTTACGAGAGCGAACAAAGTGCGCCTCTTGGTTGGATTCGACACTTGATTCAAATAAAAGACAGCCGCAGTGTTCGCGTCGAGATTGAACTTGCAATATCTGATCGACAGCTTTGGTCTATGAGCTTTGCTCGGCGGCATTGAGTACACATTTTGGATAGATAAAGAGAAAAAAATAATACTCACCCTGGCGAATAATGGCCTCGCCGGGCATGAAAGTAACTGGAAACATGGCGTCGAATATGTCCGATCGCTCGTTTTCGTCGAGATGAGCAAAGAGCACGTTTTTCGCTATGGCTTTGCTCAGCGCTGCCATAGTCTTGTAGTCCTTTGGGACGACCTTTTTCACGTAACTGGTCGCATCCTCCTCGGTCACGGGTTCCGCGGAGATGCCGCCGCGCCGTCGCGGTACCTGTGGTCCTTGCTGGCCTGCTGGCATGTCCTCCGTATCCTCGGGACTAGCTGCAGTTTGCTGTTTGGCGTCGTGCGCTTGCTGCGGAACCCAAAAATGAAGAAAAAGTCAGCTTCTCACTTGGACACAAAATTACGTGCGTAGTTGTTTCTATGATATTGCCAAGTTCAGACGAATCGAAATGGAAAAAAGATCGCGAGCCTAACGAAACGATCCAAAATTCAATCGAAAGCACTCACGATCTTTAAAAATACTCTCGGTTATTTTCGCTTGAACTTCCACGCGCGCACGGCTGTATACGAACAGTCGAAAACAGATAAACAATAACAAGCCGTTCGCTCGTCGATACAAACTTAGCGTGCACGTCCGATTGACACTATCTTTAATTGCCACTGCCGTTCGTGAGCGTATTTATGCAAATTGCAAAGAACAAAGTACTGATGCCGTCGTCATTGCGCTCGGCAAGATCCGGTCGCGGCCTAAGTAGAAGCACGACTGCCAGACTAACTGCCTCATACGTTATTTGTTCCCTTCTCTATATACGTAATTTTTTCTCGGCGCAGCAGCCAATGTTGCGAAGAAACTTCACATAAAATAATACCCCTATCACACGCTTATCGTGTACCAATATATTGAAGGTTTTTCTCTGTATTTATATACACACACGCGCCAATGCACATGCTCTTGTGCGAGCTAGATGAATATATATTACACCTTATACATATATAGACGATCGATTTTATACAGTAGCCGATAAGATCAAACGAAAACTAGGCGAAAGATATATGTACAGAAACAAGAAGAGAGAAAAAGAGAGATGAGAAGAGGACAAAGTGTGCTGCTGCTTTTCTCGAGGATAGTTATATGCTACTGCTGCTACAGAGTCGCAGCACTGATGAACTGTGTTACGACTTTAGACCAAAACGCAAATCAGAAAAATGCAATATTTTCTTAATAAAAATAAAAACCTGTAAACTACATCATTTTTATTTTTATTATTAATGCAACCATTTTATTTTTAAATTTCTATGATTTTGGTGTGGAAATCATAGAGTACCCATCTAATTAAGGTAAATATCTGCCTTTACATCTAAAGCCGCTTTCGATGAGATTTACATACATCAGAGTTTACATTTTGGAAATTTCAATAAATCAAAACACGGCATTAGCAAATAATATTTAAAAATGGTAATTTAAAGTAATTTCAATATGATTCGTAAGAAATTCTCAAAAGATATCCAGCATTTAATCATAAAATATATAATTCTAACTTGAACCTATTAAAAATTTGAAATTTCCAAAATGAATAGAGTTACAAAAATGTAACTAGTGGCAGTTAGAAAGCACCATTTTATCCCAAAATTTTTTTATATTCCTCGTGTACTTGAACTAATTAGTTTTATCCGATTTTCTCGATAATAAAATGTAATAGTGAGTTTATTAAAGATGTTTTACAAAAGCATTATTAAACAATTTATCATGCAAATTGATTTAAAAATTTTTAGTAGCAAAAATATCTCTTCATTGAAAAAAATTATAGTCAAAAGTTACATTCAACACAATTAATTTTTTTTTATACCCTTGGTACATTCATACGCGAACCATACTATTAACCCATCACATCTCTAATATGATCTCTAATAAAACAAATATGAAAAAATTGTCCCATGTTTCAGTAGTACAAATTTCTGCGTGGGAAGCATCAAAACAATATGTAACTTTAAATAAAAATTATATCTATAGCGAATTATTATTCATGCGTAACTTCATATTTTTTCATGTAAAAGCTCTTTGAGCTGATTATTTATGAAAAGACGTGTCTTTCAAAGATGGTCTTTCATTACATTATTTATACATAAAAACATGTTTTTATATCACTGTCAATGTCTAAAGTCGTCAATGTCTGGAGCAAGACTTTTTAATGTTTGTGAAGTAGCGGACACCCTAATGCTTATCCATGTTCCACCATTCGATTCGAGCAGACACAATCGATGTTAACCCAGTGTACATCGATATGGAATCGAAATCGAAATATATAATTAGATCCGATCGGATTGAAAGATTGTTAATATAGTATATTACGTGCCTAGGGAGCGAAAAACTGGAAAGCCTCAGAGCACGTGTAATTTTCGTCCGAGGCGAAACTGAGGCCGATAAACATGTGCTCTGAGGCTTTCCAGTTTTTCGCTCCCTAGGCACGTAATATACTACAGAGAAATATTCAGTAAAAGTTTCAGAAAAATGAATTGATATGTTGATTTTTAGTCTGACTTCGATATTAGAGTGTACAGTTGGAAATAGTCTTCCCAAAGTTTCATCTTAAGTCAAGCTTTCATTTTTTTCTACTTTTATTATACAGGAGGCTCAATTAGCATCATGCAGAATTGAGCTCCGAAGCAGCGCATCGTTGCTATGAACTGATAGTGGCATTTTATTGTGCTTCTGTCTGGAGCAGCATTGTGCGGAAGCATGTTGATATAAAACAGTACAATCTGTTAATAATTTATTTATGAACGAATAATAAAATACGTGACCAAGGCTTGTTAGAAATCAAATTGTGGACATGATCGATTTTTCCATGATAAATGTGAATAATATAAAATTAAATCTATAATAAAATTATTGTTGTAAAAATGTGCGCTTCAGTGGTAACTGTAGTTTTTAAAAAAATCCCTAACTCAGTCCCGAGTGATTTTAGGATACAAATGCTAGAAAGCTTTCTTACTGAAAATTGTCCAAAATTTTAACACAAAAAAAAAACGTCGCTACTGTTCACATATTAACAATATACAACGAAAAATTTAGTCAATCATTACGATCACTACGATCCCGACTTTCATCGATCAACAAATGTACTGAACTTCCTTAGAACGTCGACTAATATATATTTTTGTACTTGAATCAAATAGGGAAAACGTAAATGGTTTGTTCTTCTTGAAGAGGAAAAGAAACTAGATTATGTAATTTTCTGCTTATTGAAGAACCGCAAACGTGAAATGATTGAATAAAGTGAAAAGTCAAACATAGAGTCTCAAATGGTTAATGACACAGTAAATGAAACATATTCATTTCTTATCGAGTATTTTCTGTATAAATAAGTGATGCGAAAATTGAAAGTGCTTGAATGATAATAAAAAGAATAATGAGGGGAAAGGCAGCTAGATTGTTAACACGCGATTAATCTGTTTGTCAAAATTTGCATGCCATACTCAAGCGGAAGACTAATCGATGGGGCAAACATCAATATTGAACTCGACCGAAGCATGTGTCTCGCGTATCTCCTAATCGAACGCGTGTTCGCGACACGCTCTCTGCGCACACAAACCGCTAATTAAGTCCTTGTCGTCACTGCTGCTGCTGCTATGCATTTTATCAATCGAATCGATATGGCCGTCCATGTAACAAGCTTTTGCACAAAATATCGCGCCGCGAAATATCGCTGGAATTTTCAACCTAAGCCTCGTTTCTCAACGATTTCTTAAATCTCGCGAGTGTCAGCGCCTGGGTTTTTTTTCTTTTTCGACTTTACTTCTCTCTTACTCTCGAGTTTTATAAATAAAGTAAGCTACGCGTAGTCTTGCTCAAAAGCTGCTCTCTTTCTCTCTCTTCCTCTCCCATCTGCCATTTATAAATCCGCGACGAGGCGCAAAATTATATACGCAAGCTCCATGAAGTAATGCGTGCACGTACAAACCACACGTGCTTTCTCATCTAATACCCTTATAACAAGAATAGTCGTTCGCAGTGAGTAAAGCAAGTCGTCGAATACTCTAATGCGAGTATTTCTCGGCCTTAAATAATATCGTGAGCACTCGGACAAGTAAAGCCAAAGCTCGTTCTACAGCAGCTCATTCGCGCTTTCTCTCTTTCTCTCTCTCTCTTTCTCTCTCTCTCTCTATCTCGCTGTTTGATGTAAGCAAGCGCAAAAGAGGCAAAGAGAGAATGACCTGCTTACTTCGTGCGGTTCCGCATACCAGTCCAAAAGCTTGACGTGACTACCACTCACTACTTGGAGTGTGCACATGTCTGTATAACGCTGCACAAGTGAAAGATTCGCCACGATGACAATTTTGGTCAAAAGTTGGTCATGAGCAAGCGCAGGAACGCACGGGTGCTCAGACGTGCAGGTATGTTTCGAGTCGAGCTTTATTTGCAAGCTCTCAAATGTCAGCGGGACTTCACCTCAATCCTTGAACGCAATTCTATGCTATTATAATTGTTTCAATTAAAAATTACAAACTTTCCAATTGCAACTTTGGAGTTGATAGTTACAAGTAACTAATAGATTTAATTTTAACTATCAATGAATATGAGCGTATCACACAAAGTTTTTTTTGGTTTTGAAATTAAATTTTGAAAGATCACATACTTTATGTTTTGAACTTTCATTGTGATGAAAAATGATAGAGAATTATACATGTTTTATAAACTGTAACCTATTAAAAAGCGTCTCAAATATTTTTAATGGATGCCTATATTCTTGAAAAAAAAAGCTCCAATAAGTTGTTTTTGAAACATTAGTCTTTATATTAGACTGGTTCTTATTTCCCGAAGTATTTTCTTTTTTCTAAAGTCTTTTTTAAATGTTTAGGGTCTAAAAAGTAAGAAAAACTAGAGACTTGGTCCAAAAACTAATCGTTAACCCATGCTAAGACTCAAAAGATCGAAATCGATTTTCAAAAAAAGTTTTCTAAAACATCTGTGAAAATTTATGCGTGCTTTTTTATTAATAAGCAATGTTAATTAATCAATTAAATCGTAGATATTGTTCCTATCTCAGAATTAATTCAGTGTTAAAAGAAGACGTTTTTAATCTTTGCAAAAATCTACTGGTCATAAAAAATTTGATTATCAAAATCGTGGAAAAACGTTGAACAATTTTACTTTTATATTTTTTAATTACTCTGGACAAGTGGATATTTAAATCATAAATTAAAATGTTGAACAAGAGAATAAGGAATTCATTTAAAAATTGTGCCAAAGGAAATCAAAAAATGCAATTTCTTTAAAATTTTTGGGTGCTACTTTCTCGCGAAATTATTCAACTTTATTTGTCATTGCCACTAGTTTAATTTAAAATA